GGGGGCTGCAGCAGTCTGGATCCCTGGAACAGGTGTCTCTTCTGGACAGGTAGGATCACCGTCTCCTTCAGCTCTGTGATCACCTCGTCCAGACCTGCGATGTCTCTCCACGTGATCTGAAACACACCGTCGACGCTGACCTTTAGCGATCGGTCTGACGCCGTTTCCTCCCGCCCTCTCTACCTGTCGGGGGTTTACCTGCATGCTCAGCGGGTCCACCAGGTGAGCGGCGATGCTCATCTCATATTCAGACAGCTTCACGTTCGTCACGCCGATCTGACGCATCAGCTTCTCGGCCTGAAAGACAAAAAATGAGCGTTCACCCAAAGGGTTAACCTTAAAGTGACCTCGCTGACCTCTCATCCTGCTTCTCACCTGTTTCTGAGCCTCCACCTTCTGCTTCCTGGTGGGGTCGATGGCGTCCACCATCCACTTGATGGTAAAGTATGTGACGGCGCCGAATATGGTGAGACGGAAGAGCAGGCCGATGACCTCGTTCCTGCCCAGAGGGCGGGTGATGTTTTCAACTGGAACCTCCCTCAGCACCATCGTCAGGGTCAGCGGTGACAGGAAGTACACGCAGAGCTGCACGCCAACAACCACAGCAGCAGGTTCAGATTAAACCACGTAGTGCAGCAACGATCACCCAGTTACCGACTCAGCACCCTGCAGCGCAGATATCATGATTATTATTGTTTATTTTAATAATTGTTCCTTTTTCAATTCTTTATATTTCATTGTTTCTGCTTTGAACTCAAAGGTCAGGCCAATAAAGCCAAGTGAACTGAATGGTCTCAGAGTTTAAGTTTACAGTCTTTTTCATGGCTAAAACGAGTAATATTACCTATAAAAGTTTGCATTTTTATTGAACTACAAGTGCTTTAGGTGAATTGGATCCGAGCCGTTTTGAAATGCGCCTCCTGCTGAGTTACTTCTGATCTCCAGTTGAGCTCTGGCAGCTTTGTAGTTCTGCCCAGAAGCACATAAATGTTAAACTTGTCGTTTTTTTAAACAGGGTTTGGTGAGAAACCCCTCCTGACTTTCACTGACAGCCTACAAGACAAACAAACGACTCCTACTTTGGACCGAGCCGAATGAAGGAGGCTCCTGCAGAATGACCTCTGACCTGCAGTCGTGCTCTGACAGCTCGGTCTCGCGGGCACAAACTGAAAAGTTTAAGTAAATTGTTAAAATTTACACGGAGTCCGGCGGGACGTTCATTTCCGTGACATCGACACACAGCGGCCTGTCACTCTTAATATTCAGTGGAGACTCCGGGACCTCCTCCGGTCCCACTGGAAGTCCTCGGACCACAGGTTGGGACCCTCCGGTGTTCGCGTTATTAAGCGAGAGGCTAGCTGCTAACGTTAGCATTAGCTTGACCTTCTCGGCTCTCCGGGTGTATCAGAGCGGCTCCTCGCGGATTACAGGCCACATATCACCGGGGGGGGCACCGCGGGGCTCCGGTAAAACGGGGAAAGGAAACAGACAGAAACTCGTCGTTTATCGGTAAACGTGAGAAACTGTTACCTGTTCGCCTCCGGTAGTCACGTCGGCAGCGGCACTTCCTCAGTTCGTTCTTCGGTGGTGCTGGGATCACGCTGCGTGTTCTTCTTCTTCTACTGCTTTTACTGTAACTGCAAACATGGGGGGGGGTGCATCCAGCAGGTGGCGCAGTAACACAGCGGAAAAACCTCTTCATCATCATCATCATCATCACACACAGCGCCTCTTCCTGTTCAGTGTCTCCACACCAAACCCTTATTAAAAAACACACACATTTTACATCATATAACTGAAGGGCTGGTTAAAAGTCTCTTAAGTAAACACAACAACAATAATATATAATAATAAAAATCAGAACGTGTAAAAGTGCCGGATGTGAAACAGCCGCAGGGTTATTAGTAATGTCTGCTGGTTGCCAGGTGCTGATTTATTCACTCTGATGTTATTTGGGGTTTTTATGGGGAGTTTTGAATGGGAGGATAAAAACCATCAGAGCCTGGCAACCCTGTGTGCTGACAGGATGCGTTCAGCTAGCGGCTAACAAACTAGCATCGTCAAGTCAGATGGAGTCACCGCAACAACAGGAAGTGAAAGAATTAACAAAATAAAAACAGTTAATGTTCTACAGTTAATGAAGAATCAGATTCAGAAATACTTTATTACTCCCCGATTCTTTGTTACAGTACTCACACTGTCCGCCAATCCGAATGACTGTGAGGAAGTCCAACATCCGCTGCAGAGAGTATTTAAACCCAAACAAACAGAAATGTACTTATAAAGAGGAGCAGTAGTAAACTTACTTACATTCAGGGCTGTAGGCTGGACTTTTATAACATAGGAAGAATGAATAAATAAAAATAAAATATTAATAATCAGATTAAAGTAATAAAAATCTATATAGTTACTTCCAAACATAAATCTCTAAACGCGGTTTCAAAGTCTCCAAACAGCTGGAGTAAAAATCTGTTGAGGAAATATAAATGAATACAATTTCAAATATAGATTTTAAATATATGCCCAGCTGCTGGAGATAAATAAATACGTAAATTAGTTATTGTTTATGATTTTAAGAAGAATCAGAATCTGAGATAAGTAATATTTTACAGAAGGAATTTGCTTTGGTGCTGGACAAAAACATAAAAAAACGGAAATGTATAAATATATCAATAAAATTTGGCAAAATATAGAAGAGTAATAATAAATATAACTGCCAGCTGTGTTCGTGGGTTCAAGCCCTTTCCAGCAACAGTGATTTCAAAGTAATTTCACACAAAACATATCCTGCGAGCTTTGTAACATTGGACAAACCTTTTCTGATCTATGTCTGATTTGTGTTATGCCACGCCCATTTCTTGCCGTGTAGCGCCCCCTAGTGGTCGATTTGAATGAAACTGTCCGGGGCTCCTGTCTGAACATACACTGCGGGATTTGTGCTGATTGCCCATTTATGTCCTGAGCCACGCCCCTTTTGAAGTTCATTGGTCAATATCTTGAAAACAAAATGAGAAATCAACAAACTTATCGTCGGAGCCGCGGTGCAGGAGGAGATGTGTAATCTAATCATATATATGTGTGCAATATGGCAGTCTGGGCAGTAACACAAATTACCTAGTGCCTTCTTCTTTCTGTGTTTTTATGGCCAATGTCAACGTCATGAAAACTTTAAGACAATTTATGACAATTCCACTTCAATATCTCACTGTCAAAAAACAAAAAAGATTTGTATTTTAGTTTAGTTAAATGTAGTTCTTATTTTATTTAAAATTAAATTATTTTAGTAATTTATTCACGTATTTATCTTCTGCGGCATCAAATCTGTTCCATCTGTCTGGCCTTATTTCCTGGGGACTGAACGTCAGACCCAAATAAGCCTTCGACTTTTAACCCAGAGCTTTATTGTGAAGGCGCGGGCCGGATGTGCGCCGTGTTCCGCTCTGTGGCTTGACTCCGCGCAGCGTCGTCTCTCTCTTCCTCCGCTCGGAGGGATTTCTCTCCGCCGACCTGCGTCCAGTCACGGCGTCTCTGCTGCACACGGAGACCTGGAAGAGTCCGACCGGATCCGCCCGAAGTCTGGAGCGCCCGAGCTCATCGGAAAATAAACCCGCGGATGGTTCTGTCTCCAGGCGGGGACCTGGAAACCCGGGCCCGCAGTAGGAGCAGGGAGGAGGCCCCGACGCCCCCTTGTTCTGACCCAGAAAACAGCACCGACGGCCGGGCTGCCTGTCTACTAGAAGGCCGGCTAGCCTCTGGCCACGCCGGAGCTCGCAGGCTGGCTAACGGATAACGGGATATTTTAGTTCTATCATCGATCAGGAGGATTTTCTCCGCTGAGATAATAAATCGCGACCTTCTGGAGATCGGGAGCTGGTAGCTAGCTACCTCCGGCTAGCTGTCCCAGTTAGCTGCGTCTCTCCCCGGCTACCAGAGAGCGGAGGCTCCGGAGCGGGACGGAGGAACCGTCTCCCGGTACTTGTCTTCATCCCACGGACTTCACCGGAGAAACCGACCATGGCTGCTTTAATCAAAGAGATCGTCAGCAGGAATAAAAGGCGATACCAGGAGGACGGGTTCGACCTGGACCTGACCTGTATCCTTTCCCCGGTCCCGTCAGTTAGACTGCATCTGAGCTGGAACGTTCATGCAGAACTACGTTTAAAAATGTTGTCATTTAACAGGCTGTTCACTTGGAGCTGCTCCTCATGTCGGCGTGCGTTTACTACTTAAAACGGTACTTTTTTAGTGCGTTTACTACTTAAAGTTGGCCTTAAATTGGCAGTTTTCTCAACGGAGTTCGTCGTGTGCTTTATCGCCTACAGGAGAATGTGCTAGCCGGCGTCCGTCTGCGGTGACGCACCTGAGCCGCACCTGATCCAGGTGCTGATAACGTTTTATACGGCTGTGCGGATAAAGACAGTGATTTGCTCGCGAGTTGTTTTTAGTGTAGCAGCGCTGAAGGTAGTAGCTGCTAACAGGCTAAGCTAACAGCGGCGTTGCATCAGCAAACACACCTGAGAAAGCTACACCTGGAGACAAACCGTCACTCAGCAGAGCCGGATCACCGTTTATCAGTCGTGTCTGAAGCAGAACTAAAACCTAAACACTGGTATTAGAAGTAAAGTACTCTGGCTGCTGTAGTAATACCTCAAGAGTACTAAAACCTAAACACTGGTATTAGAAGTAAAAGTACTCTGGCTGCTGTAGTAATGCCTCAAGAGTACTAAAACCTAAACACTAGTATTAGAAGTAAAAGTACTCTGGCTGCTGTAGTAATGCCTCAAGAGTACTAAAACCTAAACACTGGTATTAGAAGTAAAAGTACTCTGGCTGCTGTAGTAATGCCTCAAGAGTACTAAAACCTAAACACTGGTATTAGAAGTAAAAGTACTCTGGCTGCTGTAGTAATGCCTCAAGAGTACTAAAACCTAAACACTAGTATTAGAAGTAAAAGTACTCTGGCTGCTGTAGTAATGCCTCAAGAGTACTAAAACCAAAACACTGGTATTAGAAGTAAAAGTACTCTGGCTGCTGTAGTAATGCCTCAAGAGTACTAAAACCTAAACACTGGTATTAGAAGTAAAAGTACTCTGGCTGCTGTAGTAATGCCTCAAGAGTACTAAAACCTAAACACTAGTATTAGAAGTAAAAGTACTCTGGCTGCTGTAGTAATGCCTCAAGAGTACTAAAACCTAAACACTAGTATTAGAAGTAAAAGTACTCTGGCTGCCGTAGTAATGCCTCAAGAGTACTAAAACCTAAACACTAGTATTAGAAGTAAAAGTACTCTGGCTGCTGTAGTAATTCCTCAAGAGTACTAAACCTAAACACTAGTATTAGAAGTAAAAGTACTCTGGCTGCTGTAGTAATACCTCAAGAGTACTAAAACCTAAACACTAGTATTAGAAGTAAAAGTACTCTGGCTGCTGTAGTAATGCCTCAAGAGTACTAAAACCTAAACACTAGTATTAGAAGTAAAGTACTCTGGCTGCTGTAGTAATGCCTCAAGAGTACTAAAACCTAAACACTAGTATTAGAAGTAAAAGTACTCTGGCTGCTGTAGTAATACCTCAAGAGTACTAAAACCTAAACACTAGTATTAGAAGTAAAAGTACTCTGGCTGCTGTAGTAATACCTCAAGAGTACTAAAACCTAAACACTAGTATTAGAAGTAAAAGTACTCTGGCTGCTGTAGTAATGCCTCAAGAGTACTAAAACCTAAACACTAGTATTAGAAGTAAAAGTACTCTGGCTGCTGTAGTAATGCCTCAAGAGTACTAAAACCTAAACACTAGTATTAGAAGTAAAAGTACTCTGGCTGCTGTAGTAATACCTCAAGAGTACTAAAACCTAAACACTAGTATTAGAAGTAAAAGTACTCTGGCTGCTGTAGTAATGCCTCAAGAGTACTAAAACCTAAACACTAGTATTAGAAGTAAAAGTACTCTGGCTGCTGTAGTAATGCCTCAAGAGTACTAAAACCTAAACACTAGTATTAGAAGTAAAAGTACTCTGGCTGCTGTAGTAATGCCTCAAGAGTACTAAAACCTAAACACTAGTATTAGAAGTAAAAGTACTCTGGCTGCTGTAGTAATGCCTCAAGAGTACTAAAACCTAAACACTAGTATTAGAAGTAAAGTACTCTGGCTGCTGTAGTAATACCTCAAGAGTACTAAAACCTAAACACTAGTATTAGAAGTAAAAGTACTCTGGCTGCTGTAGTAATACCTCAAGAGTACTAAAACCTAAACACTAGTATTAGAAGTAAAAGTACTCTGGCTGCTGTAGTAATGCCTCAAGAGTACTAAAACCTAAACACTAGTATTAGAAGTAAAAGTACTCTGGCTGCTGTAGTAATGCCTCAAGAGTACTAAAACCTAAACACTAGTATTAGAAGTAAAAGTACTCTGGCTGCTGTAGTAATGCCTCAAGAGTACTAAAACCTAAACACTAGTATTAGAAGTAAAAGTACTCTGGCTGCTGTAGTAATGCCTCAAGAGTACTAAAACCTAAACACTAGTATTAGAAGTAAAAGTACTCTGGCTGCTGTAGTAATGCCTCAAGTGTTTTTGTTCTGTCAAACCTCAACATGATTAAAATCTTCACACCAAATGTTTCTACATGACAAAAGTACAAGTACCTCTAATTTGTACTGAAGTACTTACAGTAAATACTGAGTTACTGTCACTGCTGCTAAAGAATCTCTAGCTGCAACTGGTAGCTGGAACTGGTAGCTGGAACTGGTAACTGGTAGCTGGTAGCTGGTAGCTGGAACTGGTAACTGGTAGCTGGAATTGGTAACTGGAATTGGTAGCTGGAACTGGTAACTGGTAGCTGGTAGCTGGAACTGGTAACTGGTAGCTGGAACTGGTAGCTGGTAGCTGGAACTGGTAACTGGTAACTGGTAGCTGGTAGCTGGTAGCTGGAATTGGTAACTGGTAGCTGGAACTGGTAGCTGGAACTGGTAACTGGTAGCTGGAACTTGGAACTGGTAGCTGGTAACTGGTAGCTGTTAGCTGGAACTGGTAGCTGTTAGCTGGAACTGGTAGCTGTTAGCTGGTAACTGGTAACTGGTAGCTGGAACTGGTAGCTGGAACTGGTAACTGGTAGCTGGTAGCTGGAACTGGTAGCTGGAACTGGTAACTGGTAGCTCGAACTTGGAACTGGTAGCTGGTAACTGGTAGCTGTTAGCTGGAACTGGTAGCTGTTAGCTGGAACTGGGAACTGGTAGCTGGAACTGGTAGCTGTTAGCTGTTAGCTGGTAACTGTTAGCTGGAACTTGGAACTGGTAGCTGGTAGCTGGTAACTGGTAGCTGTTAGCTGGAACTGGTAGCTGTTAGCTGGAACTGGGAACTGGTAGCTGGAACTGGTAGCTGGAACTGGGAACTGGTAGCTGGAACTGGTAGCTGGAACTGGGAACTGGTAGCTGGAACTGGGAACTGGTAGCTGGAACTGGGAACTGGTAACTGGTAGCTGGAACTGGTAGCTGGAACTGGTAACTGGTAGCTGGAACTTGGAACTGGTAGCTGGTAACTGGTAGCTGTTAGCTGGAACTGGTAGCTGTTAGCTGGAACTGGTAGCTGTTAGCTGGTAACTGGTAACTGGTAGCTGGAACTGGTAGCTGGAACTGGTAACTGGTAGCTGGTAGCTGGAACTGGTAGCTGGAACTGGTAACTGGTAGCTCGAACTGGTAGCTGGTAACTGGTAGCTGTTAGCTGTTAGCTGTTAGCTGGAACTGGTAGCTGTTAGCTGGAACTGGGAACTGGTAGCTGGTAACTGGTAGCTGTTAGCTGTTAGCTGGAACTGGTAGCTGTTAGCTGGAACTGGGAACTGGTAGCTGGAACTGGTAGCTGTTAGCTGTTAGCTGGTAACTGTTAGCTGGAACTTGGAACTGGTAGCTGGTAACTGGTAGCTGTTAGCTGGAACTGGTAGCTGTTAGCTGGAACTGGTAGCTGTTAGCTGGAACTGGGAACTGGTAGCTGGAACTGGTAGCTGGAACTGGGAACTGGTAGCTGGAACTGGTAGCTGGAACTGGGAACTGGTAGCTGGAACTGGGAACTGGTAGCTGGAACTGGGAACTGGTAGCTGGTAGCTGGAACTGGGAACTGGTAGCTGGTAGCTGGAACTGGGAACTGGTAGCTGGTAGCTGGAACTGGGAACTGGTAGCTGGTAGCGGGTACTGGTAGCTGGTAGCGGGTACTGGTAGCTGGTAGCGGGTACTGGTAGCTGGTAGCGGGTAGCGGACACTGGTAACTGGTAGCTGGTAGCGGGTACTGGTAACTGGTAGCGGGTACTGGTAACTGGTAGCGGGTACTGGTAACTGGTAGCTGGTAGCGGGTACTGGTAACTGGTAGCGGGTACTGGTAGCTGGTAGCGGGTACTGGTAACTGGAACAGGTACCGGTGCTGTCACTGGTTGCAGTAACTGTTACCTGGTAGAACTGGTAGCTGGAACTGGTAATTGTTAGCTGGAACTGGAAGCTGGAACTGGTAGCTGTAACTGGTAGCTGTAACTAGTAGCAGTAACTGGTACTGGAGCTGTAACTGGTAGCGGTAACTGGTAGCAGTAACTGGTAGCGGTAACTGGTAGCAGTAACTGGTAACTGGTAGCAGTAACTGGTAGCAGTAACTGGTAACTGGTAGCAGTAACTGGTAGCGGTAACTGGTAGCAGTAACTGGTAGCAGTAACTGGTAACTGGTAGCAGTAACTGGTAGCAGTAACTGGTAACTGGTAGCAGTAACTGGTAGCAGTAACTGGTAACTGGTAGCGGTAACTGGTAGCAGTAACTGGTAACTGGTAGCGGTAACTGGTAGCAGTAACTGGTAACTGGTAGCGGTAACTGGTAACTGGTAGCAGTAACTGGTAACTGGTAGCAGTAACTGGTAACTGGTAGCAGTAACTGGTAGCTGGAGCTGTAACTGGTAGCTGTAACTGGTAGCAGTAACTGGTACTGGAGCTGGAACTGGTAGCGGTAACTGGTAACTGGAAGCTGTAACTGGTAGCAGTAACTGGTACTGGAACTGGAAGCTGGAACTGGTAGCAGTAACTGGTACTGGAGCTGTAACTGGTAGCAGTAACTGGTACTGGAGCTGTAACTGGAAGCTGTAACTGGTAGCAGTAACTAGTAGCTGTTAGCTGTAACTGGAAGCTGTAATTGTTGCCACATCTTGTTAACAGCTGTTTCCAGTTGTCACGTCCTGTGCCTGAAGGCAGCGCCCACGTTATGACCCCATGCTGCTCCAGCTGCCGTCATTTAATAATTAAACACCATCAAACGGTGAAACATGGCGTAAACAGATTCAAGAGAAACCCGACACTAGACTCTCTCTGGAGGTTTCTGCTTCAGAAAGAAGGATTTCATGTTTCAGATGCAGAGAAATGATCTTATGTTCACGTGAAGCCGGCGTGCTGAGAGGCTGCAGGCGAGTGTGTGCGGGTGTGTGCGTGGTAGCGATGACATCATGGTTTTATGCTGGAGCGTCTAGTGGACGAGAGACAGACGAGAGAGAGGAGGGCGAGCTGACGGAACAAAGAAACCAGAGAAGAAGAGAGACAGGGAGGAGGACGAGTGCAGAGAGTTGTTGGTTTGGAACTCAAAGCATTCTGGGAAATAATGTCAGGTTGGAGCTCTGCTGCTGAGGCGCGGCAGGTAGCAGTACGATGCTAACGGGGGTCGTTCCTAACCCACTACCGCCTCGGTGGACCATAATGCACTGCAGGAGTTTAAAGGACCAGTTCTCTGTCTGTCAGACGTTCAGTCCGACGCCACTCAGCTGGTTAGCTTAGCATAAAGACTGGAAACAGCCCGACAGGCTCTGTGTTAGTAGTTACTTGTAATTATTTCAATTTTACCAGCATCTATATTTTAGAAACTAGTAAAGTAGAAATGGTTTCTAGAAACTCATAAATAAGTTCTAGTAGCTTTTAAATAGCGAGTAGCAAGTTTTAAGGAATAAGTGTTAAACAGCTCGCCGTATCGTACCGCAGCTGCATCGTACGTCAGAAACTGAAAGAAACAACGCGGGCGTCCCACTGCTTCCACTGGGCGTTCCTGGGAGGCATGATGGGAAATGTAGGAAATCAAACAGGTCCTCCAAACTAAAGCACAGATGACAAAGCTGCTGCTCGGTCTTTAGTTCGGCCACGTCTGTGTGAGGTCACAGGGAGACAGGAGGTAAACGGCGGTCAGACTCCTTGTTCGCTGCCGTACGTCACATGACCAAGGTTAAACGGGTTGTATTTCGGAACGCGCAACGGGGTCCAGGTCCAGAAGGAGATCCAGTGTTTGTTGGTCCTTAACGGAGCGCTCAGATATTTATCCAAACATCATAGCGATGGGTTTCCCCGCCGAGCGTCTGGAGGGAGTCTACAGGAACAACATCGACGACGTCGTACGGTGAGGCGGCTTCACGCGTTGTTACTCAGAGTTCAGTTCTGTGGGTGAACATGAACAGTGCAGCTGTGTAACTGAACCCGTCTGTCTCTCCCAGGTTTCTGGACTCGAAGCACAGGAACCACTATAAGATCTACAACCTGTAAGTACTGACTCATCTTTACTAATGCAGGTGGCGTGAGGGCCTTTAACGGTCAGATGTGAGTCACGCTGGTAAGCGCTGCAGGGAGGCTCGGCCGCTCTGCGACATCACAGTCACGCATTTAACCCCCAAAACCCCGACGTCCCAGCAGGCCAAAGGTTTGTTCCGTTAGCTGAAATTGTCCCATTTGAAAGAAACAAAGAGTTACCAGGTTGAAGCGCGCAGAGTCGCCGCCGCCACAGTCCGCTTCCAACAGACGGTGCGCCGCAAAGTGTTGAGCATCGTCTGTCATCCTGTCCTGCAGACCAACCGCTTCACCTGTCGGCCCTGCAGGTCTCCGGGGTCCCCCCCAACGTCCCTGTCCTCTTTAAGGAGAGGAGACTGTGCAGACAGAACCTGACGTCAGCCTCTTCTACCACGAAGGCTCCGATCAGGGCTGAACCTTCGGGGGGGAAATCTTTAGCTAAAGTTCAATATTCACTGTCGGTCTGTTTTTGACGGAAGACGCTTCAAGCAGCACGGAGCAGATGAACCAGACAGGAAGTCAGACACAGAACAGTGGAGAGAATAAATAAAACACCCTGTGCAGACGACAACACGCACAGAACAAACTAAAATAAACCATTTAGCTACGTACTGAATCACAGTAGAAGCAAACACTGATTACCAAATCAACAAAATCTAAACACGTCAGCTCTGATTCTGCCGGAGGAGGCGGCGCATGGCGAGCAGGTCTGACTGTTTAAAACGGGTCAGATGTTTAATTAACCTACACTTTAATCGCCGTCGTCACGAGTAGCTACTCGCGTTCTTTCAGATGGTTCAGCCCTGGTTCCCGTACGTGAGCGTGCTCAGAGCCAACGTCGCCGACCTCAGACCACCCCGTGTCCTCAACAGCAAAGTTTTCGTCTTGGCGGATGTTAAAGCGTTGATGTGATTATGGGGAGAGTAAAAATACTGACTGTGGCGGGGCGCCGCGGTCTCGAACAGTGCGCTACGAGGACTTCGTCTGTGTCTGTCGCTGGTGGTTGTAACGTCTTCCTGTCCGTCCACAGGTGTGCGGAGCGACACTACGACACGGCCAAGTTCAACTGTCGAGGTGAGAGTCCTCAGAGAGGAAGGAGGGGCTGCAGGTGGACTCGAGTCCTTCGACCCGTCTCACAGCTCTGTCCTGTCTGTCTCTCTCAGTGGCTCAGTATCCGTTCGAGGACCACAACCCCCCCCAGCTGGAGCTGATCAAGCCGTTCTGCGAGGACTTGGATCAGTGGCTGAGCGAGGACGAGCAGCACGTCGCCGCCATCCACTGCAAGGCGGGAAAAGGCCGCACCGGCGTGATGATCTGCGCCTACCTGCTGCACCGAGGCAAGTTTCAGGAAGCTCAGGAGGCCATGGACTTCTACGGAGAGGTCCGCACCCGGGACAAGAAGGTAACGCATTTCATTTCCTGTAGCTTCACGTGTGACACTGAAGTCCGTAAAGAGTCTGGGTCCCGATTGGCTACCTGAGCCGACTCGTCTGCAGCGTGCGCTTTGTGTTTGTGTCCAGGGCGTGACGATCCCCAGCCAGCGCCGTTACGTCATCTATTACAGCTTCCTGCTGAGGAACCAGCTGCTGTACAAACCTGTGGCGCTGCTGTTCCATAAGATGCTGTTCGAGACCGTCCCCATGTTCACCGGAGGAAACTGCAGTAAGTCCGGCTGCCCGCGGCCGACGCAGCGCCAGAAGCCCGCTGACGGAGGGAGTAACCGCTGTGTTGTGTTTGTGGTGCAGATCCCCAGTTCGTGGTGTACCAGCTGAAGGTCAAAATCCACACGTCGAACCCCGCCAACACCCGGCGGGAAGACAAAATCATGCTGTTCGAGTTCCCACAGCCACTTCCTGTCTGCGGAGACATCAAGGTGGAGTTCTTCCACAAGCAGAACAAGATGATGAAGAAGGTGAAGAGGAGGAGGACTGGGGGAGGGGGGGAGGATGGATGGAGGCGGGGAGGGAGAGGGGGAGGATGGATTGGGGGGGGGGGGGCTGGATGAGAGGGGGAGGAGGGAGGAGGACGGGGGGAAGGATGGATGAGGGAGGGAGGAGGACGGGGGGAAGGATGGATGAGGGGGGGAGGAGGACGGGGGAAGGATGGATGAGGGAGGGAGGAGGACGGGGGGAAGGATGGATGAGAGGGGAAGGATGGATGAGAGGGGAAGGATGGATGAGGGAGGGAGGAGGACGGGGGGAAGGATGGATGAGAGGGGGAGGAGGACGGGGGGAGGATGGATGAGGGGAGGGAGGAGGACGGGGGGAAGGATGGATGAGAGGGGGGAGGAGGACGTGGGGAGGAGGGAGGAGGACGGGGGGAAGGATGGGGGGGGGGGATGGATGAGAGGAGGGAGGAGGACGGGGGGGAAGGATGGGGGGGGGGGAAGGATGGGGGGGGGGGGTGGATGAGAGGAGGGAGGAGGACGGGGGGGATGGATGAGAGGAGGGAGGAGGACGGGGGGGAAGGATGGGGGGGTGGGGGGGGTGGATGAGAGGAGGGAGGAGGACGGGGGGGAAGGATGGGGGGGGGGGGATGGAGGAGGCGGGGAGGACGGGGGAGGAGGGGGGAGGAGGGTCAGGCTGCCCCTGACTTTGCTGGGATTCATCTCTTCTCCACAGCTTGTTTTTATGGCATGAATGGATTTTAGTTTTGTTGCTTTATGAAGTTTTGTCGAACGTTGTTTCTTTGAAGTCCTGTCTGATGTCTGTGAAATATGACGCCCTGCTGCCGGTGTCTGTGATTGGTCATGTGCTGTTAACCCCGCCTCTTTATGCGAACGCGCTCACGGCCTGGGTTATGGAGTTGATGACCAGCAGGTTAGTGAAGCCAGATCGTGAACGCAGACCCGGGTATGTTGGACTCGCTTTGTGGTACAGGGACCGGGTCTTCTTGGTGAGATCCACCAGGAATGTTCTTCACAACGATGAAGCCCACTTATCTCCTGGGAACTCTGTTCTTCCAGGAAAAGATGTTCCACTTCTGGGTCAACACCTTCTTCATCCCGGGGCCGGAGGAGAACCACGACAAACTTGAGAACGGCAGCGCGGGCACGCCACGGGATCCGTCCGACAGGACGCACCAGAGCTCGGGGACGACGACGACGACGACGATGATGATGATTGGAGGAGAACCCAACGACAGAGACTACCTGGTCCTCAGTCTGACCAAGAACGACCTGGACAAGGCCAACAAGGACAAGGCCAACAGGAACTTCTCACCGAATTTCAAGGTAAAACGTGTCAGTTGTTTCATCGCTCGGCGTGCGTGTGCAGTACCTAGGTACGCACTGATAGCCAATCAGACGCAGAGCAGGGCGGGTCCTGACAAGCAAGGTAGTGCGATCCAAAACAAAGCGGGCCACAGTAGCCGCCAGGCGAGCAGCAAAGGCTGGACGACCATCCAGCTGCGTTCAGTTCAGGAGCAGAGTTTTCTGTGGGAGACGGGAGCTTCTTCGCTCTGCAGATTTATGACACAGTAACGGAGACGGAAGAAGCCACAAAGCAGAATAAGACCTCTTTAATAATAATGTTGTCAATCTATAAAATCAGTCGTTGCGTGTTGATGCTGCCGCATCGCTTCAGATCTGCCGGCAGACGCGGCTCGTACATCATTATAACAACTACGACAGCTTGTAGTCAGATTAGCCGCTGAACTCTGACCTTTCGACTGACAGCTGGTCCGACCCAGTAGTAGGTCACATGTCCCTTTCGCAGCCTACAGCAGCCAATGAGAGCCCGCGCTGTAAGGAAGGGCCGGCCCTGTTATTTCCTGGGTAGGACGAGCCAATTGCAACCAGCTGTGCCGATGACGGGCGCTTCCTGTAGCCAATAAGATTCTGACAATAACGATATCCAGCTTTAAGTAGGAAGTTCATGATCTACCAGCAGAAAAACCCGTCGGCAGCAGCCGCCTGCCGCCGAGGGGCGGGGCTGCTTTAGAAAAAATACGCTGAGACAGACATTCAGAAAAACCAGATCGTCCCGCCGGCCGGGTCGTGACTGATCCGGGACCTCGCTAAACCGCCCAGCGTGTGGTGCTGATGGGCTACGACAGCCGGTGCCCCCCACCAGCTGCCAGTGCACGTTCAGGATCTAACAGTCTGATTTATTTTGTTGTCTGCTTCAGGTGAAACTATATTTCACCAAGACGGTAGAGGAAGGAGCGAACTGTGACGCGAGCAGCACGCCGGCCTCGGTGACGCCAGACGTCAGCGACAACGAACCTGACCATTACCGATACTCGGACACCACGGACTCGGACCCGGAGAACGAGCCGTTCGAAGAGGACCATCACAATCAGATCACGAAAGTCTGACACTCTCACACACAAACAGATAAATATACACACACACAGTATGTATGTATGTATACACACTCATGAACCCCCAATCTGAGACTGGCGAGTTGTTAGCTAACGGGGGAATATAACCGACGGACCAGAACTGATCTGTGGGGCTCAGATCGGTATATAAGCTCCCCCCTCCCATCTTTTGCTCAGTGCACAGCTGGACAATCACATGACATGGCGGTCGGAGGCGAGGAGGAGGGCGGGGGATACGTGTGGGGGGCGGGGCGACAGACGGCGATCGGACAGACAGGAGATTTAAAAAAATAAAGGAGTAAAACTTGAAAAAAATACAAGGAAACGGAGAGTCCCCCTCTTCAGAGACCACCCGGTTGGATGAATCCCGTCGTGTCCGCCCAGTTTTAGTCCATCTCTGACGGCTGCCTCTTCTCTCTGTGTGCCGGCCTCGCGTGGTTCAGCCCAAAGTTACCTTATTTGTTGCAGAAGTCATTGCAAACTTCCCGTGGAGGCCAGCAGGGCCGCGGCGTTCCTTCAGCTAAATTAAATCTGTGCTTATTTAAAATTAGGCATTTCTTAGGCCAGGAATCTGTTAATGTTAGTTTTCTTCTTGACAAGTTCAGCAGGCACTGAAACTGAAGTAGGACATTTATGAAAGCAGGATAATGATTTCAATAAACCAGAATGTTTTTAACACGTCCGACCAGCAGCCTGCAGATGTAGGAAAGAAACACTACCGGGGGTCCGTGGGATGGTTCTGGTTTTAAAAACCCTCCGGATGATGAAAGAGCCGGCTGGACTGGACCTTGTTGAGCTGGTCTGGTTTGTGTTCTTTTATCTAAAATCTTTTGTTTTGAGGGTTTAACCAGATTATTTTTTGTGATCTTGACATTGGAAACTCCCCAACCAAAGAAACTCTGAGCCCCCCGAACGAAGCGGCGCACACAGAGAGAAGCGGCGGCCTGCTGTTTGAATGTGACGGTGCAGAAGAGAAACTTTGATTATTCACTCTGTCAATCATCTACTGTTGAAAACACGTACAGTTCAAACCTACTGTGAACAAACACGCTATTACTACTTTTCTGTCTGTCTACAGTTTTGCACAGAAGGATTCTCTTCCGCCCTTCAATCAGCTCCTACAGTCACAGAGAAGTTTACTCTGCCGTATATCAAACATTAAGCTAAGCAACAAACGAGCTGCACACAGTATAATCATCCCTTCAGCCCGGTCTGTGCGCCTACGCAGGCTAACGCACCCTGACACAAACTAAAGCTGAAATCTATTACTCGGAGCGCTTGGTTTGATGTGCCTGGGATGCCAGGCGGGTGGGGTTTGCACTTTATAAAGGACAGTTCACTGAATATTAATGGCTTAGTATGTATTTCCTGTTAAGCTCGGTCCATCCGTGGAAGCCAGCTGGGCTCACGTTGTGCTGGTTGTGTCGAGTTGAAAGCTCGTCCTCACCTCAGGGGTTCTCAACCTTGGTGTCAGGACCCAGCGTGGGTTTGCGGTAGATGTGTCTAAGTGATGTGTGCTTGATAGATTCGTAGTTAAGATAACCGTCTGGTCCATCTGGAGCTCCCTCCGTGCTCTTGAGGACTCTTGAGTCGCAGGTATTTTGGGATCACCGGACAGGAGAAACCCCACCAAGGTGCCCGGGGGCCGGCTGAGCGCGGTCTCCGACGGGCAGCCCGGCGCCCGGCCGAGCAGCTTCCAGCAGGTTTCGCAACCACAGCGGGTCTCGAGAGCCTCTGTGTGTCTTTTGGTTTCTGACACTTCAAAAAGGGTGGTGCTCTCTATAATCACTATTACTCTGTCCATAGGCTATTAATCGTTTCACTCACTACTACGTCTTGGAGACATTTAAGCACTTAAAGTCGTGCAAACCGTACCTTTAACGCCAGGGACGACAGTTTGAGGATCAGCAGGTTCGAGACTCTTCCGTCTGGCAGCTGAACGTCAGGGATGCTCCGATTAGATCCTGGGTTTAATTAGAGGAAACCAGTCCAAAGCTAATCACCGGTTGGTTCCAGTCCTTTGGGCTCTGAACGGACGTTTGGATGATTGTACCTTCATGCGTACCTTGACCCCTCACGGCTGGCCGGGAACCTGCGCGGTGCCAATCAAGTTTTAAAATCGCTGAATCTAGACGCCACGAGCCATTTGTTCTGAATGGCATCAGATCGATTGGCGCGTCTAAAGGAACATCTGGCACCAGGTCGGCCGTGGGGGGAGGTTTTAGCCCTGATGTCTGATTTCCGTCCCTGCGTTTGGTGCTACCACCTACCATTGGCTCTGTGTCGGTCCTGTAGGCCCCGTCAAGAGCCTGATCACACAGGACGCGCTCCGGAGGCTAGCAAACACCAAATCCTCTGCTTTTATTCTGTCAGTGCCCCCAAGGCCCACTAGCAGACAGAAAGCATGTTAGATCTGGGGTTAGGTTAGGAAAGGCTACTGATGAGAACATGTCTGGTTACAATCAGAACATCCCATCCAAAAACGGGCTTTGACCTGGTTGGAGAAACAATTGAACCAATCAGAGCAGATTTATTTCAGGGATTAAGGACGGTAACGTGCCAGAAAACTGTTCACAAAAGTGCCGATGAGTATAGATTCGACATCCTGATTATCAGATTGAACATCTGGATCACTCAAAACTCCTCAAAGTCATCGGAGCCGATAGAAAAGGAGCGCGCCGCGGATAAATTGGCGTCCTGTGCGATCGCGTCTTGATGTGCAGCTCTCCGGCTTGGTGAAAACCTTGTAGCCAGACGGAGCTTTTGAACAGCCACTGCCGGGGGCCTGCTGTTCGTCCTGTTGGGTTTGAGGTGCTAAGCTAAGCTAGCCAGGGCTGCTGCTGAGCCTGTTACGCGTCTGTGGTGCTCTCTACCAGCCGCGAGTGTTCGTCCAGTCTCGATCTGCGACGCCGAGCAGCTCTGCCGTCAGCGAGGCGATCTATCCACGGGCTCTGTTTGTGTATTTTACAACGACAACACACTTCCTGTCTGGAGTCCTGTCAGGTGCTCTCAGGTCTGGCCTCACTTCCTGTCACCGACCCGTTCAGACACGACCGGTGTGTAGACCTGTTCTCGGGAGGGGCTTAAAACCTTGCCCAGCAGTTCACCCAGAAAACACCTGGATCCAGTGTTCCACAGATCTCCTGCTGGACAAACGGCCGTGCGCTGAGCGGGTTTCGGGGATGTGAGGCCGGGCAGGTGCTGTCCACGTCTTTGACCGTTTCAGGTGCTTGATGTATTTTTCTTTTGACCATTTTACACGTCGCAGAAAACACGTCCATCGGGGTGATTGGTAGAACTCTGCAGAATCTAAAACTATAGAGTGAAAGGTTTTAAACAGAATTCCCATTGGATGGTCCGGGTTCCTGCACCGATGCAGAACGCCGGACAGAAAACAGAAAAGGACATGTCGGGAACGTGTTGAGTGAAATCAGCCGAGTCTGAGACAGACACGAGTTTGCGTCTGGAATCGGGAACCTTGAGCTTGGTTTTGGCGTTTTACGCCCCACTGACACTCTGAATGACCTTTTCACCTCCAACAATCACAGTTACGTTAACAGAACACGTTCAGGCTCCTGGTGGTTCCTTCAGCTGGAGAGCTTTTGTTTTGTCGACGACGCTTCAGCTCTGTTTACATCTCATCACCAAACCTGCCAAATGAAGCTCAGACTCTGACCCTTCGTCCTTTTGTTTGCTGGTTAGTTAGGAGCTGACGAGGGGAACGCGATCTGTGTTCCTTCTTTTCGCCTGAAGGTGCGGTCACGTTGGCCCGCGTTCACGCTCCCGGAGTAACGGGATGTGGCGTCGGGGTCGTCCGCGTGTTTCTACTGGCTGAACGTGCACGTTCAGATGTGGTAGGTGACCTTTCACCTGTGAGTCGTCCGGACTTATTGAAGTGAACGAGAACGCCGTGCGGCCGCACCTTCTACCTGAAGCCAACAACAGCTTCCTGCTCCTCAACAGCTGCTGCAGCTCAGAGTCGTGGGCATCAGCCGCCTCCGTCGACACCTATTTAAACTTTTCAGACCCAGTTGCATCTTTGTTAAACGCCCAACCTGTCCAGGTCGATTGACCGTATGCTAAGCCCCGCCCCCTTAGTTCCTGCTGCTAACCCACTGATCCTTCAGTCCTGATCAGGATTCAGAGCGACCCGCGTTCTGCCGGACTCCCTGCAGAAGCTGTTGGAGCAGAACCCGGTCGTTTGGTTCAGGTTCAGGTTTCAGCTCAGCGGTCCAGAGTTTCTGTTCATCACAATGATTGTTAATTAAAATAAAAACAGAAAACTCGCCGTACCTACCGGTCTGTACCACCGTGAGAACATTTCATGTTAAAATGCCCCCCCCCCCTTTTATTCTGTCCCTTCTTGTTTTATAATGAAATAAAAACACTGTAAAGGTGAATAAACTATTTATAAACATCTGTCTGTGTTGCTTTTGGAATTATTGAAGAACTACAACTCCCATGAGTCTGCTGCTGACGAGTTAAAGAAATATGACGTGTTGTAAATGACATCAGCTGTTTCACATCCACACGCTGGCTCAGCGTTCGGGCTCCATAAGGCAACGAACACGTGAGAATATTTAAAACTCTGCTCGACTGACGCATCAATTTAAATAGAATTTTTCTCCTGTTCACTTTATTCAGGAGAATAAACTGCTGCAGGTAGGTTTTAATTCTGGATTAAATCTGGATCTTTTTGTGGCTGAAAATTATCTTAAATTGTGTTTTCAGGGAAAATCAACCAAACAAGTGTTTGTTTATTCAGAAAGGATTTAAGCTTGTAGAACTCAGAGGGAATATCTGGATCCATCTCAACCCGTTTCATCCTCTTGCCGTGTGAGGCACCGTCTTTCTTTTCTCCTCTTCATGTGCGTACGCATGGTTCATAGCCTTTGTTTGGGAAGTGGCGTCCGCACGTTTCCAGCCCTGTTTTGTGCAGCGTTTATACATGAGATGAACACAAAGGCTAACATGGTGATGCTGTCAGATCAGAAACACTGAGCCTGAGGGGGAAGTGATGCCACATTGCTCATGTTGCTAATCGAGGCGTTAAAGAGACAGAAATCTTAATAAGAATTCGCTAGTAGAAAATATAAAATAGACATCAAACTGTTTCAGTATTGTCTGATTTTATACCTCTTTTGAAAAGAAATCTTTACTGAAACACAGCACTGATGATAAGAGATGGAACAGACTTAAGTCCTTAAAATTATAAATGTACATACAAACAATTCACGTTCACACATAAGGACAGCTGAGAGTCACCTGTGCATGTGTTTGGACGGTGGCCTGGGACGACGGTGCTAACCACTGCGCCACCGTGCCGCATCAGTGTGTCGCGTTGCACCTAATTCTCATTTTCAGCAGCAGCTACCAGCCACTCTGGTTCAGTCAGGAAGGTCACTGTACGAGAGGCGTCTTCTGCAGCTGTCGCTCACGTCCGGGCTCGCTGGGCTGCAGTCGGAACATTTTCCTGTTTCGCTCCCACGCGGCAAATGGTCTGTATTTTTTTAGTTCTAGTCTCTCGTTGCTTCACATTCACCCGTTCACGCTCTGATGGCGCAGCCACCAGGAGCAGTTCACACGCAGAATAGGTTTTATTATAATAGCTTGAATTATTCAAATTTAAATGCATGCAGATATACTTTATGTTGCCTTGTAGTTCATGTTGTGCGGTGTCATTTGGCTGCTACTCGTGAGGGCGGGGGACAGAGTTCACAGGTAGGAAACCGGACTTCAGATGGCGTTCCATGGTACTCTTTCTAGATGGAGGTCTGAAATTTCCGACCTGGTTTGCATACGTTTCATCCGCTCCATAGAATGACCTGCAGCTACTCTCTGAGCCTGTTGCTCTCAGGACACTTATGGATGCTGCTGATTATTAACTTCTGAAGTAACTGTCAGCAGCTACTGGTCTTCTTTTTTAGTTTTTAAGTTAATATCCCACCATAAAACTGGAAAAAAACTGCATATTGTAAAACTGTCAGTGTCGAGCTACCAGGAAATTTTATAAGAATACATCCAGATTTTGTCAACTTAGTTCTTGTCACATTATTGACACATTTGAAAATCAGAATATATATAATTAGCTGATGTCTAAGTGTTGGACGCGTTCACATGTTGACCTGATGGTGGCGCTGGAGAGCAGGTTCTCACAGTTCATCCTGAGGGGAGCATGAAGGTCTGAACCAGGTTACCACCTGTCCAACAGCTGCAGGTGTTTCAGGGTGAAACAAATAGTTTTATTTCTGAAACTAATTCCCATAAATCTGCATGTGAACTCGTTCCCTGACGGCGTGGAGAGACGAGGATTCATATTACCGTGTGTGGCGGAGAGATCCACCAGTGACTCGGCAGAAATTATAATTGCTTCTCCCCCAGAATGCACTACTCCAAACAACTGGAGAACAGGCAAGGAAGAAGTAGGTCACACACACACACAGAGCCTTGTGGCCACCAAACCATAACTAATTCTGTCTTATCTGCTTCTATAAAAAGATGAAAGAGAGAAGCAGCAGAGGAAGCAGCGTCTTTTATTCATCAGGACACAGGACGGGTCCTCAGGTGAGTGACCAGGTGAGACACGCTGACCTCGTGTTGCTGCGTCAGCTCGTACACGGTGAAACGAGCTCTTCAGGGTTCAGAAACATTTTCTGTCACCTGAGTTTGTTCTCAGAGGAACTTAAATCATAAAATGAACTCCCTTATACAGAGAGTCTAAGCCCCGCCCCTTCTGATGGACTGCCACGGCAACTTGTTAAATATGTACATTAGTTGGCGGCCAAAGGCAACTCATGTTTGGATTCAAGTTTTTTATTGTGTTGAATTACACACACAATGTTTGAAAGATAACTTTCAAAGAAGCTAACTTTCTATAGCTAACGTCACTGAAGCTAACGTCACCTGTTAGCTTCAGTGACATTATCTGAACTATAGCTAACGTCACTGAAGCTAACTTCACCTGTTCGCTTCAGTGACATTATCTGAACTATAGCTAACGTCACTGAAGCTAACGTCACCTGTTAGCTTCAGTGACATTATCTGAACTATAGCTAACGTCACTGAAGCTAACGTCACCTGTTAGCTTCAGTGACATTATCTGACCTATAGCTAATGTCACTGAAGCTAACGTCACCTGTTAGCTTCAGTGACATTATCTGAACTATAGCTAACGTCACTGAAGCTAACAGGTGACGTTAGCTTCAGTGACATTAGCTATAGGTCAGATAATGTCACTGAAGCTAAATTCCTATAGCTAACGTCACTGAAGCTAACTTCCTATAGCTAACGTCACTGAAGCTAGCTTTCTATAGCTAAAATCACTGAAGCTAGCTTCCTATAGCTAATGTCACTGAAGCTAGCTTCCTTTTGCTAATGTCACTGAAGCTAACTTTCTAAAGCTAACGTCACTGAAGCTAACGTTCTAAAGCTAACGTCTAGGAAGTTAGCTTCAGTGACGTTAGCTTTAGAAAGTTAGCTACGAGCTAGTAGCAAGCATAAAATTAACATTAGCTTAGCATTACAGCACTAACATGGTGGACATATATTGCGCGAGACGAGAGATGTAGTTCACTGAGCGGTTTTCACACAAAACTAAATTTGACTTTACTGTGAAATTAATTTTAAACTGACAAACGTGTGTAATTCAGGACTCAGTTCAAGGAAAGGGAGGGGAGGGGCTTAGGCTCTCAGGTAAATCAGGCAGATTTCAGGAAGGCCTCAGTTGAACCAGGTTCAAGTTAACCCTCTAGTGTCCAGTTTAAAGACGCATCACGTCCGTCCTAAACTTGAAAACGTCAGAAATGTGTCATTTAAAAAGTCTGAAACACTTCTTTGTAATCGATTGCTTCATAAACTGTTAACTTGTATTAATTATTGATCGGTGTAAAGGTCAGGTCCACAGTCACTTCCTGTCGAAGTCGGCGGCGTCACAGGAAGGCCTTCAGAATACTGAGCATGCTCAGTGCAGACTCCACGCAGCCGTCAAAGTTGGAGTGGCTGAAGCTGTCTCCACCGCAGATGAGCAGCGGGCGCTCAAGGACGGTCATCTGACCTGGACAGCCCGGCACCGAGGTCAGCACCTGTCGGAGGGGAGGGAGGGGTCATAAATCAAACGCTCCCTCTCCGAGAGGAGTCTCAGGACTTTGACCTGTGATGTCTCACCTGGGAGTACCTCCACTTCTGACACTTGATGCTGATTGGATGAGGCAGACCAGGAAGCAGCTTGTGGAGCTCCTGTAAGATGATTGGCTGGATGTCCTCCTTGTCTTTCTCCAGGTGCTCAAGGCCGAACGAGACGCTGGTGTGGACGACGAGGGACGGGCCGCGACCGCGATCGTCTGAACAGACAAAAACATGAAAATTTAGCTGCTCATTTTGTGGGTTTGAGTGATGTCACACTGGCGCGTCCTTGAACACATCAAACAGACTCTACACGTCACAGCATCACTACAGGATGATAACTTTACTTATTATGAGTGCATATTATAGAATTTCTTTGTTTCATTTCGTCTCTAATTAAACCCCAAAGTGTTGCTTAAACCTGTAAATCTGTATTGATATTCTGTTTTCTTGGCTGTGATGAATTACCTCTCTGTAGAAACTAAGAACAAACAACTAATAGCTCGGGAAAGTGGAAATTACAGTAAATCGGATATGACGTGAATGCAGCAGTAACCTGTTAGCATGCTAACATTAGCTCGGCCAGGTGAGCAGACAGACCTGCGTTGCGTTTGCGGGAGTCTGCAGCGATGTAGCGGATGCAGGGGTTGTCAGTGACGTATCGAGCCGCCCAGGGAAAACTGAAGACCACGTCAGGAGGGAAGAAGAGAGCGACGGCAAAACGAGACGAGTACACGACTCCGTCTAACTGCTGCTTCTGCTGGACGGAAAGCACTGAGAGACAGACAGACAGAGTTAAACCTTATGATCCAGGACTCAACACTGCAAACTGTTTCACCTGTGTGTTCACCAGGAAGGGAGGCTCTAATTACAGACAATGTCAAGTTGCATTATGGGAAGTGTAGAAAGAATTGTTGAAGCTTAAACCCCACTGACTAACCTGTTTACACATACAGACTACGGACTCTCTCTCCTGCCTTTCGCAAACCTAATTTAGATGCTCAGCTCTGATTGGACAGTTGTTTTCGCCTGCTGTGTTCTGTAGCAGCCCGTTAAAGTTCACTCGCAGCCGGTTAAAGTTCACTCAGGTCAAAGTTCACTTACAGACGGTTAAAGTTCTATTGCAGCCGGTTAAAATTCTTTCGCAGACGTTAACTCAGGTTAAAGCTCTATCGCAGAGTTCACTCAGGTTAAAGTTCTTTCGCAGCAGGTTAAAAGTTCTTTCACAGCCGGTTAAAATTCACTCAGGTTAAAGTTCTATCGCAGCCGGTTAAAATTCACTCGCAGCCGGTTAAAATTCACTCGCAGCCGGTTAAAGTTCTTTCGCAGGCGGTTAAAATTCACTCAGGTTAAAGTTCTATCGCAGCCGGTTAAAGTTCACTCGCAGCCGGTTAAAATTCACTCAGGTTAAAGTTCTATCGCAGCCGGTTAAAGTTCACTCAGGTTAAAGTTCTTTCGCAGGCGGTTAAAATTCTATCGCAGCCGGTTCAAGTTCACTCGCAGGCAGTTAAAGTTCACTCAGGTTAAAGTTCTTTCGCAGGCGGTTAAAGTTCATTCGCAGCCGGTTAAAATTCACTCAGGTTAAAGTTCTTTCGCAGACGGTTAAAATTCTATCGCAGCCGGTTAAAATTCACTCAGGTTAAAGTTCTATCGCAGCCGGTTAAAGTTCACTCGCAGCAGGTTAAAATTCACTCAGGTTAAAGCTCTATCGCAGAGTTCACTCAGGTTAAAGTTCTTTCGCAGGCGGTTAAAATTCTCTCGCAGCCGGTTAAAGTTCACTCGCAGCCGGTTAAAATTCACTCAGGTTAAAGTTCTTTCGCAGGCGGTTAAAGTTCACTCAGGTTAAAGTTCTTTCGCAGCCGGTTAAAATTCACTCAGGTTAAAGTTCTATCGCAGACGGTTAAAGTTCTATTGCAGCCGGTTAAAGTTCTATTGCAGCCGGTTAAAGTTCACTCGCAGCAGGTTAAAGTTCTATCGCAGCAGGTTAAAATTCACTCAGGTTAAAGTTCTATCGCAGCAGGTTAAAATTCACTCAGGTTAAAGTTCTATCGCAGCAGGTTAAAATTCACTCAGGTTAAAGTTCTATCGCAGCCGGTTAAAATTCACTCGCAGCAGGTTAAAGTTCTATTGCAGACGGTTAAAGTTCTATTGCAGCCGGTTAAAGTTCACTCGCAGCCGGTTAAAATTCACTCAGGTTAAAGTTCTATCGCAGCCGGTTAAAGTTCACTCGCAGCCGGTTAAAATTCACTCAGGTTAAAGTTCTATCGCAGCCGGTTAAAATTCACTCAGGTTAAAGTTCATTCGCAGCCGGTTAAAATTCACTCGCAGCAGGTTAAATTCACTCAGGTTAAAATTCTATCGCAGCCGGTTAAAATTCACTCGCAGCAGGTTAAAGTTCTATCGCAGACGGTTAAAATTCACTCGCAGCAGGTTAAAGTTCTATCGCAGATGGTTAAAGTTCACTCAGGTTAAAGTTCTTTCGCAGATGGTTAAAGTTCACTCAGGTTAAAGTTCTATCGCAGCCGGTTAAAATTCACTCAGGTTAAAGTTCTATCGCAGCCGGTTAAAGTTCACTCGCAGCAGGTTAAAATTCACTCAGGTTAAAGTTCTATCGCAGCTGGTTAAAGTTCACTCAGGTTAAAGTTCTATCGCAGACGGTTAAAATTCACTCAGGTTAAAGTTCTTTCGCAGATGGTTAAAGTTCACTCGCAGTAGGTTAAAAGTTCTTTCGCAGATGGTTAAAGTTCACTCAGGTTAAAGTTCTTTCGCAGATGGTTAAAATTCACTCAGGTTAAAGTTCTATCGCAGCCGGTTAAAATTCACTCAGGTTAAAGTTCTATCGCAGCCGGTTAAAATTCACTCAGGTTAAAGTTCTATCGCAGACGGTTAAAGTTCACTCGCAGCCGGTTAAAATTCACTCAGGTTAAAGTTCTATCGCAGCCGGTTAAAATTCACTCAGGTTAAAGTTCTATCGCAGACGGTTAAAGTTCACTCGCAGCCGGTTAAAATTCACTCAGGTTAAAGTTCTATCGCAGCCGGTTAAAATTCACTCGCAGCCGGTTAAAATTCACTCAGGTTAAAGTTCTATCGCAGCCGGTTAAAATTCACTCAGGTTAAAGTTCTATCGCAGACGGTTAAAGTTCACTCGCAGCCGGTTAAAATTCACTCAGGTTAAAGTTCTATCGCAGCCGGTTAAAATTCACTCGCAGCCGGTTAAAATTCACTCGCAGCCGGTTAAAATTCACTCAGGTTAAAGTTCTATCGCAGCCGGTTAAAATTCACTCAGGTTAAAGTTCATTCGCAGCCGGTTAAAATTCACTCGCAGCAGGTTAAAATTCACTCAGGTTAAAATTCTATCGCAGCCGGTTAAAATTCACTCAGGTTAAAGTTCTATCGCAGCCGGTTAAAATTCACTCAGGTTAAAGTTCTATCGCAGCCGGTTAAAGTTCACTCGCAGTAGGTTAAAAGTTCTTTCGCAGATGGTTAAAGTTCACTCGGGTTAAAGTTCTTTCGCAGATGGTTAAAGTTCACTCAGGTTAAAGTTCTTTCGCAGATGGTTAAAGTTCACTCAGGTTAAAGTTCTTTCGCAGATGGTTAAAGTTCACTCAGGTTAAAGTTCTATCGCAGCCGGTTAAAATTCACTCAGGTTAAAGTTCTATCGCAGCCGGTTAAAATTCACTCGCAGACGGTTAAAGTTCACTCAGGTTAAAGTGCTATTGCGCTGTGTGCCTGCAGTACGTGTACCACGCTGTGTACCTGCACCACGGTGTGTGTCTGCAGTACGTGTACCACGCTGTGTACCTGCACCACGGTGTGTGTCTGCAGTACGTGTACCACGGTGTGTGTCTGCAGTACGTGTACCACGGTGTGTGTCTGCAGTACGTGTACCACGCTGTGTACCTGCACCACGGTGTGCGCCTGCAGTACGTGTACCACGCTGTGTACCTGCACCACGGTGTGTGTCTGCAGTACGTGTACCACGGTGTGTACCTGCAGTACGTGTACCACGCTGTGTACCTGCACCACGGTGTGTGCCTGCAGTACGTGTACCACGCTGTGTACCTGCACCACGGTGTGTGCCTGCAGTACGTGTACCACGGTGTGTGCCTGCAGTACGTGTACCACGCTGTGTACCTGCACCACGGTGTGCGCCTGCAGTACGTGTACCACGCTGTGTACCTGCACCACGGTGTGCGCCTGCAGTACGTGTACCACGGTGTGTGCCTGCAGTACGTGTACCACGCTGTGTACCTGCACCACGGTGTGCGCCTGCAGTACGTGTACCACGCTGTGTACCTGCAGTACGTGTACCACGCTGTGTACCTGCAGTACGTGTACCACGCTGTGTACCTGCACCACGGTGTGCGCCTGCAGTACGTGTACCACGCTGTGCGCCTGCAGTACGTGTACCACGGTGTGCGCCTGCAGTACGTGTACCACGCTGTGTACCTGCACCACGGTGTGCGCCTGCAGTACGTGTACCACGCTGTGTACCTGCAGTACGTGTACCACGCTGTGTGCCTGCAGTACGTGTACCACGGTGTGTGCCTGCAGTACGTGTACCACGCTGTGTACCTGCACCACGGTGTGCGCCTGCAGTACGTGTACCACGCTGTGTGCCTGCAGTACGTGTACCACGCTGTGTACCTGCAGTACGTGTACCACGCTGTGTACCTGCACCACGGTGTGTGCCTGCAGTACGTGTACCACGCTGTGTACCTGCACCACGGTGTGTACCTGCAGTACGTGTACCACGCTGTGTACCTGCACCACGGTGTGTACCTGCAGTACGTGTACCACGCTGTGTACCTGCACCACGCTGTGTACCTGCAGTACGTGTACCACGCTGTGTACCTGCACCACGGTGTGCGCCTGCAGTACGTGTACCACGGTGTGTGCCTGCAGTACGTGTACCACGCTGTGTACCTGCACCACGGTGTGCGCCTGCAGTACGTGTACCACGCTGTGTACCTGCACCACGGTGTGTGCCTGCAGTACGTGTACCACGGTGTGTGCCTGCAGTACGTGTACCACGCTGTGTACCTGCACCACGGTGTGTGCCTGCAGTACGTGTACCACGCTGTGTACCTGCACCACGGTGTGCGCCTGCAGTACGTGTACCACGGTGTGTGCCTGCAGTACGTGTACCACGGTGTGTGCCTGCAGTACGTGTACCACGCTGTGTACCTGCACCACGGTGTGTGCCTGCAGTACGTGTACCACGGTGTGTGCCTGCAGTACGTGTACCACGCTGTGTACCTGCAGTACGTGTACCACGCTGTGTACCTGCACCACGGTGTGTGCCTGCAGTACGTGTACCACGCTGTGTACCTGCAGTACGGTGTGTGCCTGCAGTACGTGTACCACGCTGTGTACCTGCAGTACGTGTACCACGCTGTGTACCTGCAGTACGTGTACCACGCTGTGTACCTGCAGTACGTGTACAGTAGTGTTTATATCCAGATGTGTGTGCTTGTATGTTCACTTGGCTGCATGTTAATGTGTGAGAGAAAGTATAAATGCTGTAATCTGATTGGATAGAAACGTTAAACATGATCTCAGGTTGATGTTTCATTCATCGTCTCAGTTCGACTTTACAAAGAGATTTTCAAGATCAGAAAAAGGCTGCAGCCTCTCACTGCGCACACACACTCTGAATCTAATAATAACCCGAGTGTGTGCGTGTGTCAGCACAGAGGAAATGGGCGCTGTCCCCTTTCAGCCAATCAGAGGAGCTGAAGATGACATCATCATCATCTAGAGAGGCACACACGAGGAGAGTGCTGCAGCCCGACCACACACACACACATCCAGAAAGTTCTGTAGCGTTTATGAAGAGTGTGTTCACCATCGACCAATCACAGACGAGAGAAGTGATTTACCACCAGATGATCGAGTGCATTGATCCTGTGTGTGTGTGTGTGAGAGTGAGTGAGTGAGTGTGTGTGTGAGAGTGAGTGAGTGAGTGAGTGAGAGAGTGAGATTTGGTCTCTGCAAGAGGAGGAAGCAGTCATCGTCTCGCCTCGTAAAAGCCTCAGGAATGTGGAGTCCTGCTGTTCTGAGAGTTTAATAAATTAAAACGTTTCCATTGTCAGTAACGCCGTCACATCAACACCATTCATAATCAAATTAAAATAAACCTGTAACAGTGCGTCACTGTAACATCACGGCGGCTGCTGCCCCCCTGTGGTCAGACTGCAGCACTACACACAGTACACTGTGTACTAAATACTTGTTCCCACAGTTTTAAGACATACATGTACCTTCCTGTTCTGTCCCAACAGGTAGTGATGTAATATTAGACAACAGCAGGGGTGTAACCAAGTACTTCTACTTTAGGGTATTTTATACTTGAGAGGCGAATATATTAACATTTAGATTTCACCTCCAGAACATCTGAACAGTACATGAAGCAGAAACACAACGAAAAGTACATATTTATACCTCCTGAATGATGATGCAGTAATAAAAAGTATTTCCTGTAAGTACTACAGTAAATTCATTCAGTCACTCTCTCTTTGTGAGAACCTGTCTCAGGAGTTAGCAGTTCAGTGTGAGTAAAGTACAAGTACATCAGTGTTTAAGGATCGTTGCTGTTTTTTTAAACCCGGACCTTTATTTCCACACATGTTGGTGCTGAAATGACTCGAAGCAGTTTTGAATCGCGGTGACCCCCTTTGTTTTTAACAGGAAGCTAAAGTCTCGCTCCAGGACAGGTCTGACACAGCACGTGTGGAAACAGGCCGTGGGTTTAAAAGTACAGTCCCTGAGTAAAAGTACTCAGTACTTTCCACCGCCGTCAGAGCGTGGCGGTCCCCACAGGTGTAGCGGTGTAAGTGTGTGTGTGTCTCACGCTGTCCCACGTCTCCCTGCAGCTGAAGGATCTGAGGGACCGGCATCGTCAGGATGACGGCGTCAAACGTCTCGCTGCCCCCCGCCTTCCTCTGCACCTCCCATGATGCACCGCGGCGGTACAGGCCGGTCACATGACGCTCGAGGAACAAATCAGCTCCTGACACACAGACAGAGAACGATCGATTCACTTCCTGATCGGATTCTTTAATAAACAGACTGCACACACCTGAACTCGGCGTCCACCTACTGGCTTTCTGCGTGTCGTCACGTTAAAGATCCATCACATGACTGCTGCAGCAGCGTTCCTTTAAACAGAAATGCTGCTGCCTTGAACGCCCCGTTGTGTACGAGCGCTGCCTCTTTTCTGATTGTGGCGTTGCTAGAAGTCTCTGGTTGAAACTGTTAACTCATCGAGAGCAGCGTTGCGTATGTAGCCCGAGGAGAGGAAACGCACCTCAGAAAAAGATACCGCTCCTGTCTTTATGCTAAGCTAAGCTAAGCTAAGCGGCTGTAGACATGAGTTTCACTCAATGTTCAACGGTTGCTTTAACACAAAGATGAAGGCCGAGAGGTGTGGCGGAAAGGACCTCGAGTCAAACTCGGATGGACGGACAGGTGGGCGTGTACCTGACTGAGACAGGAAGTGTTTGACCACGCTGCACATGCCCAGTGGCGTCACGTAGTTCTTGCTGCCGTCCATCTGCTTCAGTCCTTCAACCGGAGAGTCGAGAGGCCGCAGGATGCCGGAGGACAGCAGCTCCGAGTAGAAACTGCAAACACACGCAGGAAGACCTTCACAATAAAAGCCCGCATGGTAAGAATTAAAGTCTTTCTTTCAGGATGCGTGAACACGTTTGTCTCGGTTCATTGTCCAGTCAACAAAACGCTGCAGCGAAACACAGAGACACTGCTGCAGACAGGTGAGACAGGTGAGTCCTACCTGTGGTGTGACTGAGCGTAGGCCGGCGTAGCCGTGATGTACTGAGCTCCGAGATCAGCTGAGTGAGACGACGGGTCGGGAGGACGAGTGGTGGACATCCTGCCGCCTGACAGAGAGAGAGAGAGACACAGGTAGAGAGAGAGAGACACAGGTAGAGACACAGGTAGAGAGAGAGAGACACAGGTAGAGAGAGAGAGACACAGGTAGAGAGAGAGACACAGGTAGAGAGAGAGAGAGGTGTAGAGAGAGACGGGTAGAGAGGTAGAGAGAGGTAGAGAGAGAGACACAGGTAGGGAGAGAGAGAGGTAGAGAGAGAGACACAGGTAGAGAGAGAGAGGTAGAGAGAGACACAGGTAGAGAGAGAGAGGTAGAGAGAGAGACACAGGTAGAGAGAGAGACAGGTAGACAGACAGAGGTAGAGAGAGACAGGTAGAGACAGGTAGAGAGAGAGGTAGAGACACAGGTAGAGAGAGAGGTAGAGACACAGGTAGAGACACAGGTATAGAGTAGAGAGAGAGGTAGAGAGACACAGGTAGAGAGAGAGAGAGGTAGAGAGAGACACAGGTAGAGAGGTAGAGACAAGTAGAGAGAGACACAGGTAGAGAGGTAGAGACAAGTAGAGAGACACAGGTAGAGAGACACAGGTAGAGAGAGAGAGAGACACGGGTAGAGAGAGAGAGACACGGGTAGAGAGAGAGGTAGAGAGAGAGACACGGGTAGAGAGAGAGGTAGAGAGAGAGAGACACGGTAGAGAGAGGAGTAGAGAGAGGTAGAGAGAGACACAGGTAGAGAGAGAGAGAGGTAGAGAGAGAGACAGGTAGAGAGACGGGTAGAGAGAGACACAGGTAGAGAGTAGAGACAAGTAGAGAGACACAGGTAGAGAGACACAGGTAGAGAGAGAGAGACACGGTAGAGAGAGAGAGACACGGTAGAGAGAGAGAGACACGGGTAGAGAGAGAGGTAGAGAGAGAGAGACACGGTAGAGAGAGAGGTAGAGAGAGACACAGGTAGAGAGAGGTTCAGCTCTCTGTTAAAGAGGTGGTATTCTGCTTCTCCTTTATTGAGTTTATATCTTTTTTGTGCTGTAACAGGTTTGTAAAGTGAAAAGGTTCCCATCTCTCACAGAAAACTCTGCTCTGAACTGAAAACAGCTCGTTTGTAGTCCAGCCTTTACTTCCGCTTTCTTGTGATGTCACAAGAAATACGTGTCATAACGCTCGCCGAGCAGCTACTCCGACACGCCCTCAGAAACAGCGAGCTGCAGCACACAGCTCTCCTCTCCCTTCCAAACACTAGCTACCCTCCAGGCAGGCAGTGGACATAAAGTTGTTCCTGTGATGTAGAGACAGAGCTCAGTTAAAACTTTATGGATACAGATTAATAAGTCACCGCTCTGAAACTCTCGCTCCAGTCCGTGTTGCCGAGCCGGTCGGCAACACGTACGGCTGAACCCGAGCCGTTTACCGGCTTCTCGCCGACCCGCCCTTCTCTGCTTCTGATTGGCTAGTAGTCCTTAACTAGGAACTGAGCATGTGCAACTCCCAACAAAGATCATTTAGAGACAAGATGCATCACTCCATAGATAAAACGAAGCCTTCAACACAGAAAAGAGGAGCTGCAGCAATGTGCAGTCTGACAAAAATATAACCATGTAAACCTGCTCTGGTACAAACTCTAAATAAGATGAGGAACCTGAAAATGAGCAGAATACCAGCTCTTTAAAGAGTAAAAAGTTTCCCTTTGCACAGACCTCTGCGCCAAACTTCATTATAAATTTCACTATTTTTTGTTCATTTTATTGCAGCAGAGCATCAAGAACTGGTGGGAAAGAGTTAAGAGATGGATTTGAACAAACAGGAAACTTTATTCTATTCGGATTAAAGTACATTAAACAGAAAACAACACTTTTATCAGGAAAATACCTTTTACAGTTGTCTTGTGAAGACTCAGTGATCAGGTCACAGTTATCTAATGGAGGTTAAAATGAAGGGCAAATTCTAAAGTTGGTCTCACTCAATGTTCAACCTTCCTCGACAGTAAGAGACACGACAAATGGCTGCAGCCCAGATTATAAAAGATAACATTTTACTATAATTTGTACAGTTTGAAGCTTTACAGACCGGATTTAGGCCCAAATTAAGACGAGTTCAAGCTCGGGAATATTAAACTGTAAGATTTCTGAGTGAAGATCTGAGTGAGCCCGCTGCCTTACACCACACAGACTGAACTACATGCATGTTTCAGATATCTCTGATTTAACTGGTAGAACTGGTTTTATACTGGCTTGCAGACAGTTAATCTCTGGCAGTTTATAAATCTAATGCTTTGTGGTTATAAAGTCGGATCATTTCTGCCGAATTGAAGGGGAGACCCTGCAGATCCAGATCCCGTCTCCAGTCTTGTTCTGCAGTGTGACCCTGCTCGGCTGTAAACTCGGGAATATTAAATTGTCGTATTTCTGAACGGAGTTCTGACTCACCGGAGCCCCTGGCTTTGTCCCACACCACTATCTGAACCTTGTTCTGCATTTCTCTCCTCAGCAACATGCGCACAGGCTGCCTGTCAGGCCCGCTCCGACTATCAGAACCCGGGACATGTTTAGCTCGGAACCGCAGCCGGACCAACTCTAGCACGGACACATAAACCGGGTTTAAACCGCTCCAGTCCGCAGCAGCAGAAGAACAACAGCTGATGGACCAACAAAACTATCCCGGGGTTAGACCTGCAGCCGGAAACAGCAGGGGACATCCGGTCGGGGGTTTCAAAATAAATATCTTATTGCGTCCAAATACTCCGAGAAAGAAAACATTGAAAAGTTCTTATCTTGTTATGTACATCAGGTAGGTACTTTACTTGAGTATTTGATGGTATTTTTGATCACAGAAATCAATACTTTGATTGTAAAAAGCAGCTGATCGGTTCTGTTAGAGTTAATCACGTGTCCAGGATAAGATGGATCACGTGATGGATCCCTTCTATGTGGTATTGCTCCCCCCCCCCCCCCCCCCCCCCCCCCCATAATAATCAGGTTTAATCATTAAAATCACACATTGGATGTTGAATATAAACATAAAGAGTACAATATGGAGGTACTTGTACTTGAGTATTTCCAGATGCTACTAACTACTTCTACTCCACTACATTTATTTAAAGGTGTAGTATATTTTTACATAAACAATACACCTGCTGCAGTACTTTAAACTAATATAGAGTACACAGAGTATCTGAAACTGGCTCCTTATTGACAAACTGCAACATTAAAATATCCTATAATATTCTAAAATACTACAACACTTTGAAAGGCCTGCTGCATACTGAGTACATTTACCATGAATACTTTAAGTACATTTGGCTGAAATACTTCTGGAGTATTTTTTGACTGTGGTATTTATACTTCTGAGTACTGTAGTTTTTTGTTTAATTTCAGGATTATTCTGAAGGCGGGCCCTTCACACCTGAGCTGACTGAAACTTGACTCTCTGATCGATGATCACTGATCCAGCAGAGGTCGGTATTTTATTAACATTCGTTTTATTTTGTTTTCTGTATTTTTTATTTTTTAAAAACCAAATCAGCTGATCGCTTCCGGCCTGTGTTGATTCGATCAGAGAAGATGAAACGATCAGAAACCTTTGCGATCAATCAGCGGCAAACAAACAGTTAATCAGCCGCATCATGTGTTTGACCAATCACAGAAGGGTACTCCCTCTGACGTCACGGCCTCCGCCGCCCGTTCCGTGCAGAAAACAGAAGTTCGGATCGTCGGACCGTCGAGCTGCGGACAGACAGGTGAGTGTTGGACGGCCGCGTCGTTACCTGCGTGTTACCTGCGTGTTACCTGCTCACGCGGACCCGAGCCGTTTAAAGACCGGAAACACGAAGTTTGTGGTGTTTTAAACCCGACCAGAGAAAAGAGGCTGTAAAGGTACGGAACGTCAGTGAGGTCAGTAAGAGTTAAACCCGCAGAATCAGCTTACCTGGAGACACTGGAGACATCAAGTCCTCGTGACTGTTTGAAAGCATTTGTTAAAACTGAAGAAATGTTACCTAACAAAGGAAAAACGCTTTGAGAAGGTTTATTTGCACAATAAGGAAACATGCAGGTCAACTACAGAAGAGACGAGAAACAATCTGCTGCTTATAAAATATTTCCACCTTAAATTAGAGCAGAAAATGTCTCCAGAATGCAGCAAGACACCGTGTCCTCTGACAGTAAACGCGTCATCCTCAGAGGGACACGTGTCCTCTGACAGTAAACGCATCATGTCCTCAGAGGGACACGTGTCCTCTGACAGTAAACGCGTCATGTCCTCAGAGGGACACGTGTCCTCTGACAGTAAACGCGTTATGTCCTCAGAGGGACACGTGTCCTCTGACAGTCCTGACAGTAAACGCATCATGTCCTCAGAGGGACACGTGTCCTCTGACAGTAAACGCGTTATGTCCTCAGAGGGACACGTGTCCCTCTGACAGTCCTGACAGTAAACGCATCATGTCATCAGAGGGACACGTGTCCTCTGACAGGAAACGCATCATGTCATCAGAGGGACACGTGTCCTCTGACAGTAAACGCGTCATGTCATCAGAGGGACACATGTCCTCTGACAGTCCTGACAGTAAATGCGTCATGTCATCAGAGGGACACGTGTCCTCTAACAGTAAACGCGTCATGTCCTCAGAGGGACACGTGTCCTCTGACAGTAAACGCGTCATGTCATCAGAGGGACACGTGTCCTCTGACAGTCCTGTCAGTGAACGCATCATGTCCTCAGAGGGACACGTGTCCTCTGACAGTCCTGTCAGTGAACGCATCATGTCCTCAGAGGGACACGTGTCCTCTGACAGTAAACGCGTCATGTCATCAGAGGGACACGTGTCCTCTGACAGTCCTGTCAGTGAACGCATCATGTCCTCAAAGGGACACGTGTCCTCTGACAGTAAACGCGTCATGTCATCAGAGGGACACGTGTCCTCTGACAGTCCTGTCAGTGAACGCATCATGTCCTCAGAGGGACACGTGTCCTCTGACAGTCCTCTCAGTGAACGCATCATGTCCTCAGAGGGACACGTGTCCTCTGACAGTAAACGCGTCATGTCATCAGAGGGACACGTGTCCTCTGACAGTCCTGTCAGTGAACGCATCATGTCCTCAGAGGGACACGTGTCCTCTAACAGTCCTGTCAGTGAACGCATCATGTCCTCAGTGTCCTCGTGATGCAGAAACAGAAGCAGCTTTATCAGTCAGACGTCCCACATGACCTTCATCACTTCGTCACGGCGTCAAACAACTTCAAAGAATTATTCGGTGAACAAACACGATCAGCTGATCAAAGTCCGTCAGACACCAGGCTGAGCTGGAAATCAGGACGTCGTCATGTGACTTTGGACTCTGAGCGACTTCCTCTCTGCTTTCACCTCCGAAACAAACTGACCGTTAACCCTGATGATGTCACTCAGTGACATCATTCAGACCAACGCCTGACTGTGTGTGTGTGTGTGTGTGTGTGTGTGTGTGTGTGTGTGTGTGACAGACGATGTTGTGTGTTTTGGTGTGTGTTGATGCTCTCCGGTCTCGTCCACGCCGGACCGGCTGACAGCAGGTCGTCTGTTCGGAGACTCACTGACGTCCACCGACACTCCGGAAAACACAAGCTGAAGCTGGACCCTGAAGTGCACATGAACATCGTGAGTACACACAGAATACTACACGCAGTACTACACGCAGTACTACACACAGTACTACACGCAGTACTACACAGAATACTACACACAGTACCACACGCAGTACTACACAGAATACTACACACAGTACCACACGCAGTACTACACAGAATACTACACACAGTACCACACAGAGTACTACACGCAGTACTACACAGAATACTACACACAGTACTACACGCAGTACTACACAGTACTACACACAGTACTACACGCAGTACTACACACAGTACTACACAGAATACTACACACAGTACCACACAGAGTACTACACACAGTACCACACGCAGTACTACACACAGTACTACACGCAGTACTACACACAGTACTACACACAGTACTACACACAGTACTACAGATTAGGACTCAGGACCCGGGTTAAAGATATGAGCGGCTCCCTCAGGTGTTCATAAGCCCCGCCCCCCTGCTGTCAGGACAGGTAAACCTTTTCAAATTAAAAGCTGAGCTCTGCTGCTGTCTTTAGCCCACAGTTCTGCCTCACAGGCACAAGTTCCCATCAGGCCAGAGTTCACTGAGCTCAGTCTTTTTTATTAAACTTCATTCACAGTTTTAGATAGACGACATCTCCTTGTGCTGGATTAACACGTGAGTTTAGAGAACCCTGAGGCAGACCAGGACCAGGACCAGAACCGGGACCAGGAGCCTGTGTGTGTGATTCAGAACTTTATCGAACACGTTCAGAACGATTGTTCAGACGCTTTAAATGTTTCATCAGAAATCATGTTCCAGCTGCGACCCGGAGGTTCTCCTGGTAACGCGGGTGTTTGTGTGTTCAGACGGAGATCATCAGGCGGTGGGGGTACCCTGCAGAGGAACACGAGGTTCTGACGGAGGACGGGTACATCCTGTCCGTCAACAGGATCCCACAGGGACTCAAACGCACCTCAGGTCAGAACCACACTCTGCTGTCTCTGTGAGGACCAGAGCTGCAGAGTCCAGCACGCACAAGAAGTACTCAAGTCAAAGTACAAAAGTATTACCGTCACAATATATTAAGTAAAAGTACTCAGTATGCAGAATAATTGGATTGTACTTCCTGCTGCAGCTGGTGGAGGTGGGATCAATAAAGTTTCACCTGAACCTGTAATAGTATTTGTCCGTGTGTATTAATACTCTATATAATATAAAGTAATCCCAAAGTAAAGTGCCGATGAGTTCAGTGACATCTTGGAGTTTGCAGTTTGTTTTGAAGTGATGCTGAAGCTCAGAACAGGAAGTGAAAGTGGTGACCTCAGTTCTGTCTGCAGGTTCCTGTTTCGGCAGCTGAACTTTACTCTGAAATGATTTCTGCTCGCTTCATTCTGTCCTCAGTCAGAAGAGACGCGTCGCTGCTGTCAAACCAGGAGAGTCCGGGCGCCAGGCGTCTTCACAGTTATCACGTTTCTCCTGATAACAATCAGCTGTTGTTACTGTTTAAGATATTTATTTTGTTGAGAAGAAAGATTTTATTTAAGATTTGTTGAAACAGATTTGATCAGTTCAGATCTGTGAAGTTTGGATCAAGAGTGAAAAGTTTAAACCACGTTAACTTTCACTCAGAAGCAGAAACCAGCCTTTAAACTGAAAGAGACGCAGATGTGACCTTTAAGTAACTCTACGTTGAAGTAGTACTACCTCAGTGTACAAATACTCTCCTGCACACAGAAAACTAAACTCCGGCCCCGAAAGTCCAGAAGTGTTTTACTTAGCGAGAATCTGTTCGCAGGTCCGAGGCCCGCGGTGCTGCTCCAACACGGCCTGCTGGCCGCCGGCAGCAACTGGATCACCAACCCGCCCAACTCCAGCCTGGGGTACGTGCTGGCCGACGCCGGGTACGACGTGTGGATGGGGAACAGCCGAGGGAACACCTGGTCCAGGAAACACCAGACACTGCGGCCGGACCAGGAGGACTTCTGGAGGTTCAGGTACAAACACCTGTCTGACGCCACCCGTCTGACGCCACCTATCTGACGTGACGTCACCTGTCTGACGTGACGTCACCTGTCTGAACCTGTCTGACGTGACGCCACCTGTCTGACGTCACCTGTCTGACGCCGCCTGTCTGACGTCACCTGTCTGACGTGACGTCACCTGTCTGACGTCACCTGTCTGACGTGACGTCACCTGTCTGACGCCACCTGTCTGACGTGACGTCACCTGTCTGACGTCACCTGTCTGACGTCGCCTGTCTGACGTCACCTGTCTGACGTGACGTCACCTGTCTGACGCCACCTGTCTGACGTGACGTCACCTGTCTGACGCCACCTGTCTGACGTGACGTCACCTGTCTGACGTCACCTGTCTGACGTGACGTCACCTGTCTGACGCCACCTGTCTGACGTGACGTCACCTGTCTGAACCTGTCTGACGTGACGCCACCTGTCTGAACCTGTCTGACGTCACCTGTCTGACGTGACGTCACCTGTCTGACGTCACCTGTCTGACGCCACCTGTCTGACGTCACCTGTCTGACGCCACCTGTCTGACGTCACCTGTCTGACGTCACCTGTCTGACGTGACGTCACCTGTCTGACGTCACCTGTCTGACGCCACCTGTCTGACGTGACGTCACCTGTCTGACGTGACGTCACCTGTCTGACGCCACCTGTCTGACGTGACGTCACCTGTCTGACGTCACCTGTCTGACGTCACCTGTCTGACGCCACCTGTCTGACGTGACGTCACCTGTCTGACGCCACCTGTCTGACGTGACGTCACCTGTCTGACGCCACCTGTCTGACGTGACGTCACCTGTCTGACGTGACGCCACCTGTCTGACGTGACGTCACCTGTCTGACGTGACGTCACCTGTCTGACGCCACCTGTCTGACGTGACGTCACCTGTCTGAACCTGTCTGACGTGACGTCACCTGTCTGACGTGACGTCACCTGTCTGACGTCACCTGTCTGACGTGACGTCACCTGTCTGACGTCACCTGTCTGACGCCACCTGTCTGACGTCACCTGTCTGACGCCACCTGTCTGACGTCACCTGTCTGACGTCACCTGTCTGACGTGACGTCACCTGTCTGACGTGACGTCACCTGTCTGACGTCACCTGTCTGACGCCACCTGTCTGACGTGACGTCACCTGTCTGACGTGACGTCACCTGTCTGACGCCACCTGTCTGACGCCACCTGTCTGACGTCACCTGTCTGACGTCACCTGTCTGACGTCACCTGTCTGACGTGACGTCACCTGTCTGACGTCACCTGTCTGACGTGACGTCACCTGTCTGACGTCACCTGTCTGACGTGACGTCACCTGTCTGACGCCACCTGTCTGACGTGACGTCACCTGTCTGACGTGACGTCACCTGTCTGACGCCACCTGTCTGACGCCACCTGTCTGACGTCACCTGTCTGACGCCACCTGTCTGACGTCACCTGTCTGACGTCACCTGTCTGACGTGACGTCACCTGTCTGACGCCACCTGTCTGACGTGACGTCACCTGTCTGACGTGACGTCACCTGTCTGACGCCACCTGTCTGACGTGACGTCACCTGTCTGACGTCACCTGTCTGACGTCACCTGTCTGACGTCACCTGTCTGACGTGACGTCACCTGTCTGACGCCACCTGTCTGACGCCACCTGTCTGACGCCACCTGTCTGACGTCACCTGTCTGACGTGACGTCACCTGTCTGACGCCACCTGTCTGACGTGACGTCACCTGTCTGACGTCACCTGTCTGAACCTGTCTGACGTGACGTCACCTGTCTGACGTCACCTGTCTGACGTGATGTCACCTGTCTGACGTGATGTCACCTGTCTGACGTGATGTCACCTGTCTGACGTGACGTCACCTGTCTGACGCCACCTGTCTGACGTGACGTCACCTGTCTGATGTCACCTGTCTGAACCTGTCTGACGTCACCTGTCTGACGTGATGTCACCTGTCTGAACCTGTCTGACGTGACGTCACCTGTCTGAGGTGACGTCACCTGTCTGACGTGACGTCGTCTGACGTGACGTCACCTGTCTGAGGTGACGTCGCCTGTCTGACGCCACCTGTCTGACGTGACGCCACCTGTCTGACGTCACCTGTCTGAACCTGTCTGACGTCACCTGTCTGATGTCACCTGTCTGAACCTGTCTGACGTGACGTCACCTGTCTGACGTGACGTCACCTATCTGATGTCACCTGTCTGAACCTGTCTGACGTCACCTGTCTGACGTCACCTGTCTGACGTCACCTGTCTGACGTGACGTCACCTGTCTGACGCCACCTGTCTGACGTCACCTGTCTGACGTCACCTGTCTGACGTCACCTGTCTGACGTGACGTCACCTGTCTGACGCCACCTGTCTGACGTGACGTCACCTGTCTGACGCCACCTGTCTGACGTGACGTCACCTGTCTGACGCCACCTGTCTGACGTGACGTCACCTGTCTGACGTGACGTCACCTGTCTGACGCCACCTGTCTGACGTGACGTCACCTGTCTGAACCTGTCTGACGTGACGCCACCTGTCTGAACCTGTCTGACGTCACCTGTCTGACGTCACCTGTCTGACGTGACGTCACCTGTCTGACGTCACCTGTCTGACGTGACGTCACCTGTCTGACGTCACCTGTCTGACGTGACGTCACCTGTCTGACGTCACCTGTCTGACGTGACGCCACCTGTCTGACGTGACGTCACCTGTCTGACGTCACCTGTCTGACGTCACCTGTCTGACGTCACCTGTCTGACGTCACCTGTCTGACGTCACCTGTCTGACGTGACGTCACCTGTCTGACGCCACCTGTCTGACGCCACCTGTCTGACGCCACCTGTCTGACGTCACCTGTCTGACGTGACGTCACCTGTCTGACGTGACGTCACCTGTCTGACGTCACCTGTCTGACGTGACGTCACCTGTCTGATGTCACCTGTCTGAACCTGTCTGACGTGACGTCACCTGTCTGACGTCACCTGTCTGACGTGATGTCACCTGTCTGACGTGATGTCACCTGTCTGACGTGACGTCACCTGTCTGACGCCACCTGTCTGACGTGACGTCACCTGTCTGATGTCACCTGTCTGAACCTGTCTGACGTCACCTGTCTGACGTGATGTCACCTGTCTGAACCTGTCTGACGTGACGTCACCTGTCTGAGGTGACGTCACCTGTCTGACGTGACGTCGTCTGACGTGACGTCACCTGTCTGAGGTGACGTCGCCTGTCTGACGCCACCTGTCTGACGTGACGTCACCTGTCTGACGCCACCTGTCTGAACCTGTCTGACGTGACGCCACCTGTCTGATGTCACCTGTCTGAACCTGTCTGACGTGACGTCACCTGTCTGACGTGACGTCACCTGTCTGATGTCACCTGTCTGAACCTGTCTGACGTCACCTGTCTGACGTCACCTGTCTGACGTCACCTGTCTGACGTCACCTGTCTGACGTCACCTGTCTGACGTGACGTCACCTGTCTGACGCCACCTGTCTGACGTCACCTGTCTGACGTCACCTGTCTGACGTCACCTGTCTGACGTGACGTCACCTGTCTGACGTCACCTGTCTGACGTGACGTCACCTGTCTGACGTGACGTCACCTGTCTGACGCCACCTGTCTGACGTGACGTCACCTGTCTGACGTGACGTCACCTGTCTGACGTCACCTGTCTGACGTGACGTCACCTGTCTGAACCTGTCTGACGTGACCTGTCTGATGTCACCTGTCTGAACCTGTCTGACGTCACCTGTCTGACGTGACGTCACCTGTCTGACGTCACCTGTCTGACGCCACCTGTCTGACGTCACCTGTCTGACGTCACCTGTCTGACGTCACCTGTCTGACGTGACGTCACCTGTCTGACGCCACCTGTCTGACGTGACGTCACCTGTCTGACGTGACGTCACCTGTCTGACGCCACCTGTCTGACGTGACGTCACCTGTCTGACGTCACCTGTCTGACGTCACCTGTCTGACGCCACCTGTCTGACGTGACGTCACCTGTCTGACGTCACCTGTCTGACGCCACCTGTCTGACGTCACCTGTCTGACGTGACGTCACCTGTCTGACGCCACCTGTCTGACGTCACCTGTCTGACGTGACGTCACCTGTCTGACGTGACGTCACCTGTCTGACGTCACCTGTCTGACGTGACGTCACCTGTCTGATGTCACCTGTCTGAACCTGTCTGACGTGACGTCACCTGTCTGACGTCACCTGTCTGACGTGATGTCACCTGTCTGACGTGATGTCACCTGTCTGACGTGATGTCACCTGTCTGACGTGACGTCACCTGTCTGACGCCACCTGTCTGACGTGACGTCACCTGTCTGATGTCACCTGTCTGAACCTGTCTGACGTCACCTGTCTGACGTGATGTCACCTGTCTGAACCTGTCTGACGTGACGTCACCTGTCTGAGGTGACGTCGCCTGTCTGACGTGACGTCGTCTGACGTGACGTCACCTGTCTGAGGTGACGTCGCCTGTCTGACGCCACCTGTCTGACGTGACGTCACCTGTCTGACGCCACCTGTCTGAACCTGTCTGACGTGACGCCACCTGTCTGATGTCACCTGTCTGAACCTGTCTGACGTGACGTCACCTGTCTGACGTGACGTCACCTGTCTGATGTCACCTGTCTGAACCTGTCTGACGTGACGTCACCTGTCTGACGTCACCTGTCTGACGTCACCTGTCTGACGTCACCTGTCTGACGTGACGTCACCTGTCTGACGCCACCTGTCTGACGTGACGTCACCTGTCTGACGTGACGTCACCTGTCTGACGTGATGTCACCTGTCTGACGTGACGTCACCTGTCTGAACCTGTCTGACGTCACCTGTCTGACGTGACGTCACCTGTCTGACGTGACGTCACCTGTCTGACGCGACGTCACCTGTCTGACGTCACCTGTCTGAACCTGTCTGACGTGACGTCACCTGTCTGACGTCACCTGTCTGAACCTGTCTGACGTGACGTCACCTGTCTGACGTCACCTCACCTGTCTGACGTGACGTCACCTGTCTGACGTGATGTCACCTGTCTGACGCCACCTGTCTGACGTGACGTCACCTGTCTGATGTCACCTGTCTGAACCTGTCTGACGTGACGTCACCTGTCTGACGTGACGTCACCTGTCTGACGTGACGCCACCTGTCTGACGTCACCTGTCTGACCCTCTCTGACGTCACCTGTCTGACGCCACCTGTCTGAACCTGTCTGAACCTGTCTGACGTCACCTGTCTGACGTGACGTCACCTGTCTGACGTGACGTCACCTGTCTGAACCTCTCTGACGTCACCTGTCTGACGCCACCTGTCTGAACCTGTCTGACGCCACCTGTCTGAACCTGTCTGACGTCACCTGTCTGAACCTGTCTGACGTGACGTCACCTGTCTGATGTCACCTGTCTGACGCCACCTGTCTGACGTGACGTCACCTGTCTGACGCCACCTGTCTGAACCTGTCTGACGTGACGTCACCTGTCTGACGTCACCTGTCTGAACCTGTCTGACGTGACGTCACCTGTCTGACAGGTGACGTCACCTGTCTTGACGCCACCTGTCTGACGCCACCTGTCTGACGTGACGTCACCTGTCTGACGCCACCTGTCTGAACTTGTCTGACGTCACCTGTCTGACGCCACCTGTCTGAACTTGTCTGACGTCACCTGTCTGAACCTGTCTGACGCCACCTGTCTGAACCTGTCTGATGTGACGTCACCTGTCTGATGTCACCTGTCTGACGCCACCTGTCTGACGTGACGTCACCTGTCTGAACCTGTCTGACGCCACCTGTCTGAACCTGTCTGACGTGACGTCACCTGTCTGACGTGACGCCACCTGTCTGACGTCACCTGTCTGACGTGACGTCACCTGTCTGACGCCACCTGTCTGAACTTGTCTGACGTCACCTGTCTGAACCTGTCTGACGTGACGCCACCTGTCTGACGTGACGCCACCTGTCTGACGCCACCTGTCTGACGTGACGTCACCTGTCTGACGCCACCTGTCTGAACTTGTCTGACGTCACCTGTCTGAACCTGTCTGACGTCACCTGTCTGACGTGACGCCACCTGTCTGAACCTGTCTGACGTCACCTGTCTGAACCTGTCTGACGTCACCTGTCTGACGTGACGTCACCTGTCTGACGCCATCTGTCTGAACCTGTCTGACGTCACCTGTCTGACGTCACCTGTCTGACGTGACGCCACCTGTCTGACGTGACGCCACCTGTCTGACGTGACGCCACCTGTCTGACGCCACCTGTCTGACGTGACGTCACCTGTCTGACGCCACCTGTCTGAACCTGTCTGACATCACCTGTCTGACGTCACCTGTGTGACGCCATGCTCTGTCTCCGTAGTTACGATGAGTTGGCTCTGAAGGACCTTCCAGCGGTTGTAGACCACATCCTGAAGGTGTCGGGTCAGGACCAGATCTTCTACGTCGGCCACTCTCAGGGAACCACCATAGGTAACGTGTCTGTGTCTTAAACACTTTCTTACATCAGCCTCATCTTTTCAGTTCCTGCTTGGTTCTAACTCATTACTTTGTGTCTTTTATTTCCCAGCATTCATAGCGTTCTCCACGCTACCTAAACTGGCCAGTAAGATCAAGTTGTTCTTGGGTTTGGCGCCCGTAGCGACCGTGGCGTTCACCGCGAGCCCCATGACCAAACTGTCGGTCCTGCCCGACTTCCTCATCTGGGTAAGAGTCTCTCTCTGTGTTATTGATCAGCTGATCGGTCCGTGTTGATTGACGATGCGTTCTTGGTCTCGTTCGCCAGAAACTGTTCGGGAGGCGGGACTTCCTGCCTCAGAGCGAGATGATCCAGTGGTTTGCGGAACACGTGTGCGGCAAGCACCTGCTGAGCGAGCTGTGTGGAAACCTGTTCTTCATCCTCTGCGGCTTCGACGAGAAAAACCTCAACATGGTTGGTATGGCGGCGAGAAACACGCCGCGGCTGACAGAATGTAACATCTTATAATTAACGTGCACACAGGAAATGCTTCTGACCGCCATAAACATTCTTAATGATATGTAAAATGGAGCTCTTTGATGCTCCGGCTCTGACACTGACCCCATCCTTTGTTTCCAGACTCGGACTCCGGTCTACACCACACACTGTCCTGCCGGGACCTCGGTCCAGAACATGGTCCACTGGGCCCAGGTAACACGCCATCTGTCTGTCTGTCATGTAACGCTAGAACGTTTCCGCTCCAAACATTCAGCTCCTGGCTCTGCATCTCCCAGAAACCCCCGCCCCACGTTTCAGGCCTTTACACCATGTTTTATTCTCTTCACCGTGGCGTCACCGTGCAGGACGTTCGCCTGCCGCCACGGGAAACAGGCTGCGCAGCATCAGCAGTGATGATCCTGCAGCGAGCAGCGGCTGCTCTGCGTGTTAACTTCTAACATCTAATAACCAACCCAGGACACGCCGCCCAGCGCCCGCCGTCAGACTCCGCTTCACTCACTGCGGTGGAAAAGGTGTTGCCCATAGCAACGCAGAATGTTTATCTGAACGTGTTCTCTGAATATTACCCGCTGGGGCTTCTTGGTATGAAGGCCGGGTTTTAAAATCTGGCTTCGCCGTGACCTTTTTAACAGCAGGCGGCGCTGCTGAACACACTTTTAGGAAAAGACTTAAATATTAAACCAAAGACGATTGAAAAGCAGCTGCGGGTAAATTTGACTCGTTGGCGGTTCGGGTGTTAAACCTGATTCTAGCTGAACCCCAAACGGCAGCCTGACCCCGTTTTACCTTGAACCTCCACAGACTCTGAACCTGTCTGACGTGACGTCACTGAAAACCTGTGTTTTAAATGTTTCACTGGTGTATTTTCCCGTGAAGCTCTGGGACAGAAAGGTTTCAGTTTTTATAATGACCTGGGCAGCAGGAAGGAAGAACGGGAAGAACAGGAAGAGTTGGAAATTAAATCGGCCGAAATGTGAATGAACTTTAGTGAGGAATGTAGTACGTGACGCCCTTTTGTTGTGAATTGAGTTGAAAGGTGAACGAAGCGTTGTTGTTGTTGTTGTTGTTTCCAGGCCGTTCACGGAGGGAAGCTGATGGCCTTTGACTTTGGAGCTGCAGGAAACATGAAACACTACAACCAGGTGAGACTCTACCTGCACCGATCAGTCCGTCTGACACATGAACGCCGGCTCACGTCTGTGTTTACTTCCTGTCCTCAGTCCACTCCCCCTCAGTACCACGTCCAGGACATGAAGGTTCCCACCGCTCTGTTCTCAGGGGGACAGGATACGCTGGCGGACCCCAAAGACGTGGCTGTCCTCCTCACTCAGGTGAGTCTCCTGATCCAATGAGGTGAGAGGTCACAGGTGACAGCAGGAAACGCGCCTCTTTAACAGAGAGGCCACAGCAGCACCTGGTGGACGTCAGGGGAGCTGCAGCTCTGAGGCTGCTGATCTGGTCTTGGTCTAATGTGGGTCTGTTTTAGAGTTTAGGTCCAGGTTTTCAGCATGTAGTGAGTGCCGTACCCGTCTGTCCTCAGGTGTCTAACCTGGTCTACCATCAGCACATCAAACACTGGGAACATCTGGACTTCATCTGGGGCCTGGATGCTCCTGAGCAGATGTTCCCCTCCATCCTGAAGCTGCTGCAGGAACACCGCTAGAGGGCGTGGCGGCGTACACACCTGTCCTACAGTATTGTCCGCCTGTCGGGTGGAGCGGCGGCAGCCTGCTGCTCACCGCCTGAAACGTCCTCAGATCTGAAGCTGGTTTTATCTGTTTACACGTGAAATATCTGCTGGAACGCTTCTGATGACCTGTTTTACATAAAGCTTTTACCTAACAGGACTCTTATTGTGAAAATCCTCCCTCAGACTGTGAAGGAGCTCGGTGAACTTGTTCTGACGTGGCTCCTGTTGGCGAACTAACACTCTCTTTAAACATGCAGCCAATCACGTGGCTGGACTTTTATCAAGCTCTGAAACACAAACTGATTATTTGTCGTATTTCTGCTAAATATGAAGCTGTTTTGAATCAAACTAAATAAATCTCGTAACTCCTGAACACTGACAGTGTGACGTGTTTGATCGTCGACAGTCTGCAGTTTCTATTGATTCAGTTTTACAGCTGTTTTCCTTTTAATCTCTCTTCAGTTAACATTTGAAAATCCTCGAGCCGAAATTAGCATCTCAGCTAATATCTTAGTTATAGATGCACCTGTCTAACCGAGCTCCACCCTTTTGACCAAATACGGTCACGTCTGGTTCCATAAAAGATGAAGACGCCAAAGTGCCAAAATCTCAGTTTCCTTTGTAATCTTTATTGCAAACCAGTGTATAAATACTGTATCTCACCGAAGTGAGTCCACCCCTCACATCTTTGTAAATATCTCATTAAATCTTTTTTGTGAGATACTGTGTGTGTGTGTGTGTGTGTGTGTGTGTATGTATGTATAATATATATATATATATATATATATATATTATATGCATGTTCACCTGGATTGAAGTATTGGCTCAGTAACTTCTCTCACATGCAAACTAACACAGCTGTTGTTATTTAAAAATTTTGCAATATTTATTTAATGTTTAAATACAGATTCCAGATTTTATATCCAAGATTCTTCTAAATAACTAAACACCTGAAGGAGAAAATTACCAGTAGTTTAAAATTTAAATCATCAAGGCTATAAATTAATGGATGACTGTTACTTTTTTTCACCTTTTAGCTGTGATCAGCGGTAATCCAGAAATGATGTTATTAGTGTTGGTATCATCTTTATTGTTGTTGTTTTTATTATTGTAACACATCATCATCATCATGTGGATCAGCCTCAGTTTGTAAAAACGTGTCAGAGTGAGACATCACGACTCCTTCACGCCTCTGTGTAGCAGCTGTGGTGCGCATGCGCAGAGTGAGCCGTCCCCGCGCGGACAGGATCTGTGAGCTCCTCCATCTCTGCCGTCAGTCGGTGTTTTGCAGCCGCAGCCGGAGCTTTCAGCCATTTTAGCAGCTGCTTCTTTCACATCTGCTTTCACCCCCTCTTGCATTTAAACCCGGGTCCGATTCTGGTCCCGGGTCGGAGTCCGGCTTTAGTGTGACCCGGGTTATCTCTGCTGCACATGTGATGCCGACAGCTTCTGGACATCCAGCGGACAACGAACCGGTAAGGACCCCTTTCCTCCCGGAGCTTTCTGCTCTCTCCTCTGTGCCTTCCTCTCTCACTGTGCCAGTCATCTGCGGTGTGTTCAGGGGAAACCAGGAGAAGGGACTTCCTGTCTCACTCAGCCAGCTTTAAACATATTGATTTCATGTGCAGCTAATAAGAAATCAGAGTTATTAATCTTTGTTCACACGGGGAGACACAAACTGTCTTATTTTGAATCAAATGACACATTTAAGTTATTTAAAACAGACCTTTAATTTGAAATCAGGTGAGTTACAGTAACTTGCTGCTGATTGTGTCACAATAAGGGTGTTAATTAGTTTCCTACATATTTAAAAGGAACAAATGGAGCTAACCTCTGAAAAACACCTGTAATTAAAGAAAAGTGACTTAATCTCTGACATGAGCTAATGTTCGACTCTGTTCAGGGTAATCCACAGATAATCTAATGGATTATAATCTGTGTTTAATGTTCGGTTTGCTTTAAAATAAAATCTAAGGCCGTCACGTGTTTATGGATCATTGAGATGCAGAAAACACAACATGTGTCCGTTTATTCCAACTCATTAATAATCCCCTTTAATCCCGTGAAAACAGCGACTGACGGCTGTTTTACAACCCGTTAATCATCCTCTGAAAATCCCATTAAAGCCTCTGAAAGTGTTTTAAGTCCCTTTAAAGCTGCAGGTTGGTTCAGAAGCAGCACGCTCACATCAATAAATGAAACGCCCCCACACAGACATGGAGAGAATGAACACGTGTTGAGGCGGCGTGGCGCTGGAGGGAGGCGCGGTCCTGGTTCAGATAGTTTCACAATCTGCTGAATGTTGCTGCTTCATCCAGCCGGTGTTTCCTGTCGGTTCAGTGTGTAAGAGGAGGTCAAAGGTCGCCCAGCCGCAGAGTGAATGTGGACGAGCAGGATGTTCGAGCACCTGAAGGCACACAGACTGCGAGTCTGGAGACTCGGGCGGGGCTGAAGGTCCTGGGCCGAACCGCCGTGAGGATGGTGCTTCCAGGTGTCCAGCTGGTCCAGTTTGTGCCCACAGAAGCCACGTCTGACGCCAACGGGTCTCGCCCTGGCGTCCGCACGTGGGCTGAGAACATCTGGACTCTGACAGTCTCCTGTAGTAGTTCAACAGGTTTTTGGAGGAGCAGCTTCCTGTGAAACCCGTCATTAACCGCGTTTTCCCAGTTTGGTAAGTCATGTTTTTCAGTGCCTCTGCAGTACGGCTGGGCGATGCGGCCAAAAATGTTACCACGATAAAAACATTTAATATCGTTCGATATTATTCAGGATAAACGTCAAATCGTTATTTCTTTCGAGTGTGAAGGCGGATTTTTGCTCCTGAGTGAAACCTGATGGTCAGAACAGCTGATCACTTCGCACATCTGAGAAGAACATTCAAAACAAATCTTTTCCTCAAC